ATGATCAACAAACATGAGGTAAGAAATAAAAATTCCATAGTATCTTATTTTGAACGTGCACATGCCTTAACACTGTTCTGTTTCTGTGTCTGTTCCCATGGTGACTGGTTTGGAGGGGCCAGCTGAGCCCCCTGGTCCTACGATCTGATGAAGCTGACGAGAAGAACCCTGTCTCCAGAAGATGAAGAACGAGAGATGGAGCTGATCAGAAGTGATGTGATGAAGCTGATGAGATGAATCTAAGGCTACGTTCAGACTGCAGGGCTTGATGCTCAATTCCGATTTTTTTGTGAAATCCGATGTTTTTGCGAGGTCGTTCACATTTCTAATTAAATGCGACTTGTCTGTGACTTCAGTGTGAACGGTAAACGGCCCGAAAGTGTCCCGCATGCGCACTGGAGGACACGATGACGTCAACCCCATGCGTCAACCGCAGCGAGCGTGCTCTGTGTTTACGGAAGTTGTCCAAATATGGTCGCGAGCATTGAGCACCTGGCGATTTTACAGTTCCGGTTTCCGCCTGCTTCAGCGCAGAATAGTGACGTTTGTCGCTTGTTAATAACGTGTAGGTCGGATGGATGCGCTTTGGCCGTTCAGACTGAAGTCGCATGTCAAAAGATCGGATATGTATCGGATTCAGGACCACATATCCAAGTGGCCTGGGTCGCATTTGAAAATTTCGGATCTGTGCCGTTCAGACTGTCATTAAAAGATCGGATATAGGTCACATAGAAGCCAAAAAATCGGATTTGGGTCACTTCAGGCTGCAGTCTGAACGCAGCCTAAGTCATCTTAACTTAAATTCATTTGACTATAATAATGATAAACAAACATGAGGTAAGAAATAAAAATTCCATAGTATCTTATTTTGAACGTGCACATGCCTTAACACTGTTCTGTTTCTGTGTCTGTTCCCATGGTGACTGGTTTGGAGGGGCCAGCTGAGCCCCGTGGTCCTGAGATCTGATGAAGCTGACGAGAAGAACCCTGTCTCCAGAAGATGAAGAACGAGAGATGGAGCTGATCAGAAGTGATGTGATGAAGCTAACAAGAAGAACCCTGTGTCCAGACAGTCATTTGGGTCACTTTTGGCTGAACTATCAGAGCACAACGCACAGCCATGCGCAAAGTTTACGCAGCAGCACAATCTGAGCCCCAACAACACAACACACTGCTCACAACCCGCCCCAACAATGTCAACAAAACTACAATAAGAGGCTACGGTCCCAACACAAACACAGCGCTGCTCCTACAGCACATGGCAGAACACCGGAGCAGCTAGGGGTCTAATCAGAAGTGATGTGAGGACGCTGACCAAAAGAACTGTCTTTAGCAGATGAAGGACAAGAGCAGATCAGAAGTGATTTGATGAAGCTGACCAGAAGAACCGTGTTTCCAGAAGATGAAGAACAAGATAGAGCTGATCAGAAAGCATCCTCAAGGAGTGTCCAGAAATCTGTCAATAAATGGAAGGTTGATTTGGAATCCTTATGTGTTTTTGTTTTTAGTATTTATTCAGACCTTATTAGTGTCTAATTCCCCATAAAGTTAATCTGCTAGAAGAATGCAAGGGTTTGCCTGTTAAGGATAATTTAAGGGTCCTGTTGGTGCATCACTCGTGGTCATACTGGTCTCATATTTACTTTGTTTTATGGTGTTTGTTTATGTGCTGCTTTGTGTTGTGTTGTCCTGTTTTTTGATAAAACATGTTACCCCCTGTCCCAAGACAAATTTCTCCCATGGGAGACAATAAAGGATTATCTTATCTTATCTTATTAGTGAGACATTTACAAACACTTTCCTTTTAATACACTCCTTATTACTGCTTATTTGCAATAAATTCAGCTTAGTCATATGTAATAAAACACTCTATTAGGTGTTACTAGAGTCCAACTAGCCATGAATGAAGTCATTAAGCTCTGAATATGTTCCCCATTCTAAAGTGATGTTTTGTTTGTCGATAATAAATGATTAGTTTGATACAAAATGAAATGAATATGGTTCCTATTCTAAAGTGGTCTCCTCTTCACACTTAATTCATGTATTGTGACATGCATATTAATAGTTCATACATGAATAGGTAGTTATTACGGAGCCCAGGCGGGCTCCGTAGAAAACAGTGTAATATGGGAACTTTAAGTGTGAGCAGTGTCCAGTAGTAATTTGTTTACAAGTCCCTCAGCTTCCAACACCATAGGATGTCACCTCATTCAACCTGCTGTCATCATCAAAGTTTGTCAGTGTCAACACTTGACAACTTTTCAACACCCTTTTCAACATGAATGGGCTACTGGATAATACTTAAGTACTGTGAATGACTGTGCTCTTTGTATGTACTGTTGCAAATGTATAGCAAACTCTTCATATAGGCTTAAGTAGCTTTCGTCCAAATTATTAGGGACACTTCACTTGGACTGCCTGGGCTAGAATAACCTTGAAGAGAACTTCAAAACACTACAGTAAAAGTGAGATTGAAAAGATTATAATAAGTTAGAGATATAAGAAAACAGCTTTTATTGCACTAAAGGAGCTCGCAGCACCCAGAGGTAAACCTGGAGATTTCATAAAAAGAATTAGTGATTCATGAAAGTGTACATTGACTTTAGCTGCAAATGACGTTTACATATTGAAGTCATTAACCCGCTGCTTTTTATAGTCAGCCTGTACAATTAGCTTTGACATGTACCCACTTTAGGTATATAGAACAAAAGAACTTTAACTCTTGTCAAAGAAGAGACAGCTTGTGTGCATTTTCAAAGGGAAGGAAAGAGAGAGAAATGAGTCAATAAAAGGTTTTGCGTGAACGTAGGCTAGGTGTTTGTGAATGTTAGAGCTAGAGTTGGGCTATAAGGTTACTTAGACAGCTCAAACGTGTGACTCGAACTGGACTTTTGAAATGATGACTAAAGCAATAGCACTTATGAGTCACACTTAGTAGGACTACTTCCCAGTCACACAGCTAGATCTCCAAATGCTATAAACTGATATTGTGTTTGTTGAACTGTTAGATAATTCCTATTCTGTACTTCAATATATTTTTGTTAAAGTGCCCATATTATTATATTTTTCTGAGCTATGCTATGTACCCTGTAAAGTAAACAGTGAGAGATTCAAGACTACATTAAGACATACTCTATACAACTATACAACAACTCACCCTTATGTAACAGATAATACTCCCTCCCGATAATGATCATATCATTGTTGCACCGTCTTCCTATGACCTCTTGTATATAGCTGAGATTTTATATTTTATTACTTATTTTACTATTTTATTTAAACTTTTACATATACGTTTAAATAACTGTGTCTTACTGGACACTTGTCTCTTCCTATCTTTTTGTTTCTGTTTAGTTTTACTTTATTTGTTCATTTATCAGGGACAATGCACATAAAAACATTGAGCTACATATGCTTGTGCCAGGTTATAGCAAAATGGCTAATTTCCACCTTCAGTCCCTGGACAGGTTGATGTCATAAATGGCACACATACCAATAAAATACAATACAACTTATACGGATGCAATCATTCATCCAGTCAATTATAAGTAAAACTAGTCCCATTCAGTCTCAGTCACCACTTCACAAGTGTGCACCACTTTCTTTCACTTCATAAAGAAGCTTAAATGTTTAACTCTGGACAGATACATGAAATATGAGACTTAGTTTGTGCTGTAATACTTTGTTGTTCTGTTACTGATTAGCTTGTTTCTTCCTGCTGTATTTATGAAGATGAACTGGTGTCAAGATGACGCTCTGACAAAGGAATAAAGGGTAAAGGCATAATAAGCTTCAGCTTCAGCCTGCACCTTTTCGGTCTGTATATGTTAAATATGACTGTTTATGAATTAAAGTCAAAATATACCTGTGACCGAAATAAATAAAAAAATAACATCCATACAGTATTTACATATTTACAGTTACTGCTTCATTCATACTGGGCAGATTAATGTGTACAGGTTTGTTTGGTTAAAAGCCATTGTTTGGTTAGGCGTGTAAACATTTTATAATTAGTATATGATATAATGTCATGTGGGAGGTTGTTCCAGAGGCTTATGGCTCTGTATGAGAATGATGATTGACCAAATGAGGTTCTACATCTTGGAATCTCCTCTGGCTGTGGACCGTGTGGCTCGGCAGGTTTTCTCTGAAGTGAGCACCACAAACTTTCTCAATAATGTTAACATTTTGCTATTTATTTAGAGTTTATTATGAACATTTATAGTTTTTACTCTTTGTTATTATAATATATTGTGTTATATATGATGTGTGAGCTACTGTGTCCAAATAATTTCCCTTGCGGATCAATAAAGTTTGTCTACGTAAAAGATGATGAGTTCTTCTCTCAGACAGAAAACACTCTGGTCCACCTTGTGATGTCATGTGGGAATACAGGAAGTGCTCCACTGTGTTTTTAAATTTTATACATCTTCACTAGGATCATTTGGATAATTTCAGACATGGCATTTCCAGGCTACTAAACAAAATTTAAAAGGTACCTATTAAATTGAAAACTATCAGTACATGACATCACAAGGTGGAACAGAGCATTTTGAGCTTTAGAGCTGTGTATAGCCTAATAATGGAGGATTACTCAAACATGTGTGAATGAAACTAAACATAACTCCAATCTATCTGGCATTTCATTAATTATAGATAATTTTGTTGCTCAGAAATATCATGAAAAGCATGCTGCGAGTGGGCTCTCCTCTCCACAGTTCTGACCTGTAACTTGGCCCTCTGGCATCACATTCTTTTTTCCATGGAGATAAGTCAAAACATCATACTATGTGGTAGGTAGCGGACCCTCCACCTGAAAAGTTACATCATGCACCTTTAAATAATTCTGTATTTTAAATGGATAATGGATACCTAAAATTCAGATTGGTAGAGAAATAGAGAAAGTTCGGTCACCATAGTAACAGAAATTTAATTATTGTGTGTATTTCATAGTTTTGGTACACTTAACTGAGAATAACTGAGACGTGGGTAGACAGGCGGTGGTCCATTCATTTCCAGTTCTGTTTTATTTTCTGGCACGTCGCCCATAAAATACACTGAAGATTACCGATATGCCTCTTTTTTCATGTTACAGTGAGCTCCTGATTCCTGTGTAATGACACTTCAAATAGGATTACTCCAGAGACAAAATAAAAAACACATTAGCTGGCATAATATCCTCCGAAACCACTTCTCAACAACAAATCATAGTAAGACAATGCCCGTAAGGATGCACAATTCAAAAATATGTAAAATGATCTGAAGTCAAGTGAATTACACAGGAATCCATTAAATATCAAAACAAAAATATTAACACAAAATGCTTTTTCACAAGTGTAGCAAAAAGACTTACAATTTTTATAGATAATAATAGTAACAGGTGACAAGGCCTAAAATCAATCGTCTTCTCTCGCGCCAATCTGTCATAAAAACTTGACAAACACGTAATATCTCAAGAGATCCGAGTGACAAAAGACTCACATTTGTTCAACAAGACACTGTACAGCATCGGGGCAGTCCGCTTACAAAAATGGCCCCGCCCCTTTCCTTCCATTAGAGTTCAAAGTTCATGAGAAGAAGCCAAGGCATTATTATAAACAGGGACATTTTAACCTTTCGAAGGACTAATAAAAAATGTACAAAACAAATCAGTAAACAGCAATTGGAGCATGACGTTAATAAAGTCTTCAAAATAAGAACATTACAATGGGGTTATACCAGGATTTTAACGTCCTTTTGAATAGCAACTTCCACTTTTGCCCTCTTCGTGATTTTGCCGTTTAATTTCGCTGGTCTCATCCATATCTTCTCTTCTGAAGAAAATACAGACTTCTGCTGGGCGGATGGTAGAAACATGAAAGGCTTTGTTGAGTTGGCAGCGCTGGTTAGAGAATACTACTATAAACATTGGGTGCAAGTCTAATACTGTGACTACCTCTTCAAAAAGGCAGAATATTTAAACAGCGAAAATCAATTCAATATTTTAGCACCACTGAAACCCAGTCCATGGCAAGCAAACGGAAAATAAACCTACGAGAACTATCTACCAGCCATTTTGAATGACCAGGGACATTTAAAGCACTATGAAGGGACATTTTTTAAATCATGATTTTTAGATTGATTGACAGCATTTTCTGTTCCCTTCATGTTGTAATAACAATAGCATGTATTCTTATAGTTATGCTGTCCACACTAACTAAAACATTCAGACATTACTGAGAACTGAGACACTTGGGCCGAACTTCTCGAATAGCATTATTATTATTATTATTATTATTAGACTACAAACATTAATTAACTTTTAATTTGTTCTTCAAAGTGCATTTTCTGTGAGTAACGTACTTCCAAAATGTGATGTTTTCAAAAATAGCCTCATAGGTGTAGACAAGGCCTAAATTGGTGATAAAAGTTCCTCCTCATGCATTTATGAAGATTTTTCATGATGGCCGCCCCAAAAGAATGAAGGGTGGGGTTGGTAAAGAAGCTGCTGATTTCAAAGATTTCTGTGGCTAAGTTTATGAGAGCATGAAATGGCGTATGAGACAGTGAGCTTGTGAAACTTAGGTAAGGTTTTGGTTGAGTGTTAGCAGCCAAAATGAAAGTACTGTACATGTCTATAGAAAAGGCCTCCAGGCAGTCCGTAACAGGTTCAAACAGGGCTTAAAACAGCGCCCTCTAGATGTGTACTTTGGGCACTCAGACGCAGGTGCCTTGATGTGTCGGGGCGAGGGCTTTCCTGTTTTTTAAAGCCTGAGATTTGTCCTTAAAATCTGATGCTTTCTGCTGGGAGACATCTATTAGTGCACTTGCCACGATGAAGCCTAGAAAGGAGAAAAAAAAACATAAAAAAAGTGAGTACCAGTAAGTATTTTGAGTTACATTTAGGTGAATTATTGAATAGCTATACTGCATGGCAAACCAATAATGAACAGGAGATATTTAAATTAAAGTTGAACTATGTAACTTTACTGGTTCAAGGTTCACCACCTACTTGTCTCCATGGAGATGTTATTTCTTAGTGGGGTATGTTCCATATTGTATACAGTATCTTGCATCTTTACAGACTTGACCTATAACTATAGCCTTAGGGACGGCATTAGAGGAGTTTAATGCCATACTGTGGAACATCTCAGGTAACACACTAATATGTCCATGGATACAAGCAGGTGCTGTATAGCCTGATTTATCAGCCAGTTTCACTTTGTGGAAACCGTCTAACCTCACAGCATTTGAATTCTTTCGCTTGACGGCAGGCGGGTACTTTTTTATTTAACCAATCGCTGCTATTTGGTCATGACGTATGTAATGCGCCGCTAACGGGTCTAACTGGAATATTAAGCTTTTCCCAAACCCCGAAGGAAGAAGGGAAATAACGTCTATCCCCTTAATAAAATTCACCAAACATTCTCTTTATTAAATCCTCGATCTTGGGAATCGCTGCCAAATCATAATGTATGGCTTTTTGCCAATTGGCTGGTGCCCGGACTCGCACTTCCAGGGTTCTTGCAAACTGTCTAGTGTATTCTGATTCCTGACTTAGTCGCTGGAGAGAAAATAAATTGAGCAGAGGCACTGAATGGCTAGGTGTTGTACCCGCTACCAGAAGAGTTACACAGTGTACCTTTTACCAAAACAGAAAGAGGTTCTCAACTATCAAGATGGTTGATTGTTTGAAACCTACTTCTTATGTGATATGTCCTCACTAAACCTTGCCTGAATTTATAAGTGCAAGTCTTTTTTTCTCTTTCTTTACAGTAGTTTTGCTTTTGTGCCATCAAAATATGAAAGTAACGACTTTTGCCAATTGTATCCCTGAGAAATCCGTAGAAACCTTAACTAGTAGGCTTGTGGCTACGCTTGGTCATACAGAGCTTAATGTTTGGTATTGTCTACCCCAGCTGGAGAGGCAGACCCTGGGTAGTTGTGTAGTACAATAGGCCTAGTCAAAAAATGTTCCTTTAAATTGGATGACAATGGTTACCTGATTGGCCCGGTGGAGGTAGTCCTGTGGGTCCAGAGGGCAGACGCATCAGCACGGTTAACACTGCAGCTTTGCCTCCCGAACATGGCTCTACAGCTACCGGCTTTGGCACGCCCTGACAACACAAAACAACTGAAGTTAAGTGCCTGGCATCAAAACAAAATCCTCCACAAAAGTAAACTCTCTTAATTACTCAAAGTGATGTAATCTAGCCTGATGAGTCTTGATAGCTGTTTGGTGCTGATACAGACGGAGCACCCTCCCTCTGAGACAAAAGCTTTGATTGGTCGCACAACAACACCACTTGTGTCTCTGTCAGACTGTCCACGGGCTGAGGCGATGACCTACCCCCTCGGAGTTAATGGCCAAAAGCGTTTGTCTCAAGCGTGAAAAACATGTCATCCTGATAATGAACGTCAACGTCGCTTTCACAGCATGGTTTGGGGAGAAGAGGGGAGAGAAATTGGGGAATAATAACATGTCTGGTGTGAGTGGGTTCCACTTCGGCCATTGCGGATGGTGGGATTTAAAATGGAAATGAGTTGCAACAAGTAAAAGGAAAATAGATAATCGCAAGGGGAGATGCGAGTAACTTCCAAGCTAGTTTTATTTGTTTTTTGAGGATATATTGGGTTGTCAAAAAGGGTAATAGAAACTGCTTTTATTTCATGCTGAAAATTAAATAAAAAGGAAATTGTAATATTGTGACAGCCTTATTGGTCACTGGGGAAATAGTCAAAGTCATATCTTTTGTATGATTTCATAGCTCTCATTTTCATCATGGGTCACCAAAGCAGTGTCCCAGTTGCATGATGTTTTGACAGACTTTTGCGCCAGATGCCCTTTTTGTCACTTAAGTTGTGACTGGAGTGAATGGCCATTAACGTTAACCAGGGACACAACAAAACAAAAATATGAGCTCAACAGTGACCTTCCAAACAAACACTTAAACCACTGCAACACTGTCATATCTCCAAAAGTGATCTCATTACAGACTGAAAAGAACTACAGAAATTAACAGATTTAAAATTAGAACATAAAGTCAATATTGTATCAGAACAAACCAGAGATAGACCGATATATCCATATGTGGACTTTTTAGCATATTGGCTGTAGGCCTTAAATCTCCAGAGTAGGCCGATTATTTATTTATTTTTTTGTTCAATCTTGCCATCTAAAACATTATATAACACTTTAATACGAAGAGAAAGCCGCACCAAAACGAGACTATACACTTCCTTACAGGTTTATGGTAAAAAAAAAAAAAAGAGAGTGTGTTTACAGTAAATTAAAATATAGTCAAATAAATATAGTCCAAAAATATCGGCAAAGCTTATAGACCATGCTCTAAACAATCAGTATAGGCATCAGTCAGGAAAAAAAAAATATATATGTATATATATATTGGTGGCTTTCTAATCTCAACTATGGGCCTTAAGAGGGATACATATGGGGCATTGGCGGGTGCTGATGCATTGTAAGACATTGATTAGGCCAACCCGTGGAAGAACTTCAAAGACCTCATGTCCAAGCCCATTGATTGAACCTTAACCACATTATAAGAGCAGAGTATTCTTACGATCAATATGCTTTTTATATCCAGCGATGGCCTAAAAATCCAATGAAGCAATAGCCCATCCACTCATCTTTTGAACGACTTTACATCAAGGAGACAGGCCAGCTCCACACTTCATCCATGTTTTATTAATACCAGATAACTGTTTTGTCATTTACATTCTTTCAAGTGCACACACACATTTCCATATCCAATGCATACGGGCACGCAGACACAAATATCCACGCACACACATACACATTCGCCCAGTGGCAGGTGTCATCTATCATTCTCGCTCCCCATATGTTGAGCGCCATTCAAAGTGAGGGGAGACATCTGTGACATCCAGGCCTTTAGCGTTTGGTTGCCAGATTGGCGCAGTTGTGAAGCAGCTGTTGACATTGTGGTCAGTAAAAAGCAGTGTCCGTGCCTCGGGGGGCTAACGCAGGCCAAAGATCCAGGGGAAACAGACGCAGCTCTAGCGATGATGCTCCCCTCTCAGTCCAGCTGGAGGCTTGTGAAAACTTAGTGGCAGAGGCTGTAACTGATGCAGTGTCATCCATGTTGACAGTACAGTACGACGCTGGGTAAATGAAGGTGTCCGCCAAGGGATGAGTGAAGACAGCCAAGAATAGAAGCTGCGGAGACGTTTATGCCCCCTCCGAGATAAAACGTAAAATGATAGCTATATTGACAGCACGCCATCAAACGAGGAGGTTTTGGGTTTGTTTGTAAAGTAGATCCTCTTTGTGTTATTGCAAGTGCGCTCCACAGTACAAAGACATCCATGACTTGCAGCTGTGAGTCTAGAAATTCAAATCAATTAAAGGGTCCAAATTACACTATTTTCTGATCTGTTATAATGTTGTTTCCTCATTAAAAACATACCTGGAGTTGTGTTTTGTTTCATTCATACATGTTTAACACACAAATCCTGCATATTTAGGTTGTGTTCTTCTCTCAAAGAGAAAACACTCTTACCAGACACACCTTGTGGTAATACAGGAAGTGCTCCACTGTGTTTTTACTACTAGAATCAGTTGGATGATTTGGAATTGCCAGACTCTACTGAACAAAAAGTAAAACTGAGCTGTTAAATTGAAATCTATAACTATGAGATATTACAAGGTGGAACAGACAGAGCATTTTGAGCTTTGGAGATGTAAACAGACTAATAATAAAGGGTACTTCAAAATTTGTGAATGAAACAAAACACAACTCCAGGTAATATTTTGATGGGTAAACAACATTATAACATAACTTAAAGTTCACAATAGTCAATTTTGAGTAACATAGGACCTTTAATTATGATTGTCTCTTTTTTTTGTCAATTGTCCTTCACGACACAACTGTATATCCCCAATATAAAATGAATACACTTTGAGGGACCATCTAAAATCCCTCTTTTAATGTACCGAGTAAACATAATAATTCCCTTCTAACGGTCAATCATTTTATGTCTGAATTGAGTGGAGATAATAGAAACAAATGAGACCGTGTTCCCTTTGAACATTAACGTGGGGCAGATAAGTGGTGGCAATTGCCGCCAAATAGGCTTTTTATTCATTGACTCACCCAAAGTGCATTATTGCAAAGTTATCCAGCATATTAAGAATATTCACAAACGCTACAGTGATAAAACACTTTTGACCTGAAAACCAATTTATGGATTATGCAAACGAGCGTGAATAAAAATTAGGTGGCCATCTATACTCAACATAGTATTTGGTAAAAGGCAAATATTTACAGACTGAAGATGGGGTATACTTCTGGAGAAGCTATTAAAACTCACTGCATGAAAAAGGGATTGCTCAGGTTCAATCCACAACTTGAAAGGGTCACACAACAGAAGAACCTCATCATTATCTAAATTGCTTAAGAATACGTCTTTCGAACAGCCGCCCATCAGCAAGTGAAGGGAACTTTTACACGTATGGCTTGTATAGGAAGACGTGAACTGACAATACCCAAAGTGCCACTTCAGAGAGTGTACACTTTACCATTCGTTTGACATTTATATAGCACCAATTAACGTCCCACTTTAATCAAAGCTGTCGCAATAAACATAGTAGTTATCGGCGTTACTCAGCCCCAGACTGTATTTAAATGCTTGGGGAAATGCAGCGCAAATGGCCCCGGTGAGAGTAAAGAAAGCATTGTTTTTCTCCTCCTCCGCTCTTTACACTGCCCTTCACTACACCATAATGCATCGTGAGTAGCACTCGGCGGCACACTAATAGCTAATGTAGAGGCTTTTCGCTGGTTGCCACAGTGATTTTATCCCTCTCAGCTGCAGGTGACACTACACTAGTCCAGGGCTGAAGGAATAGAGCCGGTCCTCTGATGTCAGTTTAAAGATGCAGTGCTCTTTATCGACCTGTGCTTAACTCGCGGGACAGAGGGAGTTTGGGTGGTCTGTGGGCCAGTTTAGAGACTTCTTTTGTAGTGCTTAAAAGGGCATTTAGGAGGGGGAAAAAAGCACTGAAACGTAGGATATGCTTTTGGTGGGTATTTAGTGTTAACTTTTCATGCGAAGGGTCTGTCACCTGCTTATTTCTATGGAAATGTCATTTCTCTGACTGGAATGTTCCACAGTATGACAGTAAATAGATCTACTTTACAGGTAGTTTTATAGCTCAAAAATACCTAGAAAAACAGGCACTGTGAGCGGGCTTGCTTCTCCACAGATTTGACCTGTAACTTGGTCTGATTTGGTCTGCATAAAGATATAAAGGTTTAATGCCATACTGTGAAACATTACAGACAAACAATAACATTTCCATGGAGAGAAGCATTTGATGGACTCTCCACCAGAAAAGTTACACAATACACCTTTAAACTTTAGCATACATACATACATACATATGTTATTATCTTACAAAAAAATTAAATAAAATAATCTAAAACGGCTTAATGAAAGAAACAGGCCCATTAACTTTCTGTTCAAAATAACAGAACTGATAAGCATGACCTCTTTTCACAGCAGTTTTTATTGTTAAAAAAAGGCAGGTGGAGATAGGGGGTAGGTGAAAACTGAAATTTTCACAATAATGCAAAACTACCCAAACATACTTGAAAGTGAGCAGATGATGATTTGAGCAATTGTAATGTATTTTCATTTGATCTTTTGTTTAGTTTGGCTGTGATGTGCTCTTTTTTATTGCTAAAGTTAGTGGAAAATCACGTATGCCTGATTAGAATGTCAGACCTCAAAACTTACCAGACAAAAGAACAGTTTTAAAAAACACAAATTTGATGTCACCATCTTTAAACCTTCAATTCAGTCTTCTTTTATGTTCGCCGTCATCCTCTCTTCTCAAATAATGCACTCTTAAAAAATCCATAAACATCTTACAGAAACTTCATTGCTCAGAAAAAGGTTTCTTGAGCATCGATTGGTAAACAACAGCGGGTGTACAGCCCTGATTGTACAGGACAATGTATCTAAAATCAGGAGGACAAGATGAGAAAGCCTGGGTAGATTTCTTATTGATGTGGGAGTGGACGATTTGTGAGGAGAATGCCTTGGCTGGGTGCGGCACTAGCGCAGGTCAAAGCACAAACAAATCATGCTTTATTTTTAGACCTTGCCTTATCCTTTACTTTTCTTTAACTTTGGGTCTATAAAACAACAGATCATGATGTTTTATGTAGTCTGGTATATTTTTATAAGCAATTTGAGCTGATAGAAAAGTTGTCAGTCCACAAACATCATCTGAGGCTAATCATTTGGTATTACAATTGCAAAATAGTTAGCACTGTAGTCAACGCAAAAAGGTTCCATGTTCTGTTCCCAAACTGTGTAGAGTTTACCTTTTCATGTTTGTAAGTGGGATTCCAAGTGTCCAAGTGGTTTTCTTTTAGCAAAATGTCCTAAACTTCCTACCTCCCTACCTTCCTTTTCCATTTTCCTTATACTACTTTGAGTTTAAAGGATAAAGAGTCTTTTATTGAGTTATGTGGCTGTTGGATTTCAGGAGATTTGACATACCTCTGCCAGTGTTATGTGTGATGAGTGAAAGAAGGGGAACCACCTAAATTTGTAGAGGGACATGGAGGAATGAACCTGAGAAATTTAGCTTATAGATAGTAACGGCAAAAACCATATGCTTTTCAGTTTTGATCAATTGTAACGCACAGAGAGACTGGAATAACAACAGGTGTCAACATATCCCAATGCCAGTAGTGCACCCAAAAAGGCTTAATTGTTTTGCAAGGAAGAAAAAAAGATGTAAATCTGACTTATGGCATTAATGAAAAAGTTTAACATTCTCTAAATAGACACAGGACAGGGAGCCTACATGGCTGCCTTGGACAATGAAGGTTGGAGACCCCAGTCCAGTATATGTAATGGGGGTTTGTGCAGCTTAAAATTGTGAAATCAAGTCTTACCTCCAGCACAGGCTGCAGCAGCTCCGTCTCTTCTCCCCGAGCGTCGAGTGCAACCGCCACAGAGGCAAAAGGACGACTGGCCATCTGCTGACGCTCCCTCATCAGTTGCTGTAACAAATAAAAACAATCAATTACCTCCATGTCAAAAGTCAAAGAACTGTTGATATTATTAAACGTTATTACACATTTTGAGCTTTCAGATTTTAGAATGTGAAGATGTTGGGTTATCATGATCACAAATTTTGAAGAAGGATACAACAGTACAGAGATAAACTGTGATAAATGTTAATATTGTATCAGTGGCATAAAGTACTTTCAATAACACAAGATAACTGCAGGAAACTTTTTTAATAGATGGGCTCATCAAAAGTCTTGATCTTATTGGTCAAGAATTAGCCTTATTTAAACTTTTACAGCTCAAATGTATTATTACAACAAAAATATCCCAAATCTCTAGCCAGGCTAACGCCACCTAGAGCCTCCATTCAATTTAATTTCTCTCCAGCAACTACATCAAGAATCAAAATACACTAGACGGTTTGCAAAAACCCCGGAAGTGTGAGTTCAGGCACCATCCAATCAGAGAAGAGCCATACATTCTGTGTTGGCAACAATTCCCAAGATCTAGGATTTAAAGCCTGAACAAAGAGAATGTTTGGTGAATTTTATCAAAGGGAAAGACGTTATTGTAATTCTTCCTACGGGATTTGGGAAAAGCTTAATATACCAGATAGCCCCATTACCGGCGCATTACATACGTCACAACCAAATAGCAGCGATTGGTTAAATTAAAAAAAGTACCCGCCTACCGTCGAGTGAATGAATTCTAAAGCTGCAAGGTCAGACGGTTTCTATGAAGTGAAACTGGCTGATAAATCAGGCTACCAAATCTCCACTCTTAAAAAAGAAATTGTACACACTATAAATATTGAGCTCCAAAATATATTGCTCTAGCTTTCATTTATTGAACAATAAGTCAATATAGCAATTATGGTGACAGACCTAGATGATGTCATACTACCAGATGGGGAAAAGAGACAGATTTGCCATGACGATCAGCTGCATTGTCCTTTGCCATGAAATATTTAAAAGGTAAATGTTGAACCAGATTTCGATGAGTGACTAGAATAACTTCTGCTTTTTAACAGTATTGATTTTAGCTGCCCCCATCTGTATTAAATATTATTGTCCTATAGAATGGTGTGATGTCATCCGAAACCCAGCAATTGGCTTATAAAATGTCCCCATGTTTCAAACTAGAATAACCCGCTGGTATTCTACAAAATGGTTATCTTCTACATTGTCATGATGCCCTTGGAGATACAATGCATGTCTGTCATTTCAGTCATTATAGGAGACTGAAAATAAAAATCAATAGTCATCAACAATAAGATAATTTACATCATTTTACACATAGAGCAGCGAAGCAATGTTTGATTTCAATCACTGAACTAGGTGTAAAGGCAATATGGGTATGTATTGTGAAGTTGTGTCACGCCCATTGTACTGCTTTGATAAGTCTGATCAAAAAATGTTATCTTCTGTTCTTAACTAATCAATATCGAAACAACTAGCACTACACTTTCATCGCTAACACATTGTCGAATCAATATCTAAACAGGCGGCCATTTTAGCTCCAAGGACACCGCTGACTAGTATTGGATTTGTGATGAGCCTAAGTGTCCAGCATTAAGATCTAATTGTACTTCAGATTCTGGAGCAGCACAGCGCTCTTGTAAAGATCACAGACAATAACATGCCTTTTAACGGGCAGTTTACTACATGTTCCCTCTGTGCACTGAACTGAATGCTAAGGCCTTTTCAAATACTGTAATAAAAGAAATGGAAACAACACTATACCATACTAAAATAAATAGAAACTAATTTTTTTCCGTAGCACTGTTGGTGAATAATTTCATAATATGGTGAGCACAAATTATTGAATTTGCAGTGCATGGGAAATAATTACATTTTCGTAAAATTATGAACAAGGAATTTAGGTAGCAAGGCTGAAGTATTCTAGCCTGATTCATCAGCCGGTTTCACTTTGTGAAACAGTCTGACCTCGCAGCATCAGAATTTGTTTGCTCAAGGTAGGCGGGTACTTTTTTCATTTAACCAATCGCTGCTATTTGGTCATGATGTATGCAATGCGCCACTAATGGGGCTAACTGGTATTTTAAGCTTTTCCCAAATCCCGTAGGGAAGAAGGACAATAATGTCTTTCTCCTTGATAAAATTGACCAAACATTCTCTTTATTCTGGCCTTAAATCCTTGATCTCGGGAATTGTTACCAACATGGCTCTTGGCGCTGACTGGCTGGTGGCCGAGCTCGCACTTCTGGGGTTTTTCTGAACTGTCTAGTGTATTCTGATTCCTGACCTAGCCGCTGGGGAGAAATTAAATTGAGCAGAGGCACTAGGTGGTGCCAGTCTGACTAGAAGTATTCAACTTGCAACTAAAAATAAAATTAACTTTCTGATAAATCATCAAATTAGCAAAACAAACTACTTATGATTGAGAACCAGTGAACATGTAAAAACATATTTGATTTGATTTTTCTATGCTATAATGTTGTTCCCTTATTAAAAAACAAACCTGGAGTTCATTCCCACACAACCCTGCATATATTATGTATATATATATATATTTTTTTTTATAATTTCAGCCCTGGAAATGCCGAACCATCTATACTGAACAAAAGGTAAAAGGTATTTATTAACTTGAAGATTACAGCTTGGCATCACAAGTTGGAACAGAGGATTTTGAGCTTTGGAGCTTTGATGTTGACTAATAATAAAGGATTACTCAAACATGTGTGAAAGAAACAAAACAACTCTGGGCAATTTTGATGAGGTAACAACATTCTAACATGGCTTAGAGCTCATACATTTTTGCGTAATATAGGGCCTTTAAGACTTTTACCATTATTTTTTGTGTCTTTTCAACGTGCCTTAGGTCATTAATTAAATCTTTAAAGACTTAAGACTAGTGATGTTATAATGGATTTTGGCATGTGGACAGATTTAACAGTCTTTCTTTTCAGTCTTAAGTCAACAGTGAAGTTTGTCGTAGCTACACTGGAACAATCCCCTCAGGCGGCGAAGTCGAAGAGAAGGGGAAAACAGCCAACTGAAATTGAGATTGATCACCTGATCGATTTTCCCTGGTCTTTATTTTTGCTGTTGTTGTCGGTGGCGACTGTTTCTTAAACTTTAAATCTGCTCCCGTGTTAGATTGGTGTTCATCTCTACTATTAAAACATCTAACAGCTACAGCGCAAACCTATAGATTGGAGGCTGTGGGGTTGCAGAGGGTCAAAATGAGAAATATTTGCCCTTTTCCAAAAGATAAAAGCAGGATGGAGGGCCTGGCAGGGAGGTTGCAAAAGCAAGAAAACAGCTCGAGGCTTATTACGGTTCCCAACATAAGCGCTTCAAATCCAACAACATTTATCCTAAATGTCAGATAGCAGTAATGTTATTTATCACGTAGCTGGGTTCAGTTAAAGACACAAAGCACAAGGAGAGAGTGTGGTGTAGGCTCTCTCCTCTATACAGCGTCCAGCATTGGAGTGTGCCCAGAATACAATCATCAGAAAGGACAATACAATAGCACTGTGCATCTAGAAATGAATACTAAGTTACAGACAAAAGGCAAAGGGGTGAACTCTGTAAAACCAATTAATACGCATGCAATGAAGGACTGATTCGGCGGACAATATGAGCTGGGTCCTTTCAGTGTTGTGATAAGAGACGGATGCAGTGCAACGCTGTGCCACTTGATTAATTTGGCAAGTGACGACGTGAATTATCTGTGTGGAGAATAAAGCTTCCTGTTTCATTCACTGGCTTCTATAAAAGGCGAGGTGTCGGACCGCCTCTGAGCATATTTTACATCTAAGCAGGTCGCCGTGTCCTTTGCAAAGATCACTCCCGTACCCAAGGGCGATGTCGGGACGGAATGAGAAATAGAGAGGGAAAAATTACACATTTGCTTAAAGAACCTTGAGGATATTATAAGAGAATATTAAATACTGATGTTTATTAGAGATCGACTGATATGTTTTTTTTTTTCATGGCTGATGCCGATATGATTGTTAAAAATCAGAGAAACCGATGGCCTATAAACTCTGCCGACATTTTTTGACCAATATGTAGGGCAGATTGTTGTCATTTTCTCCAAATTATCTACTTTGAATTTAGTACAAACATAGAATATTTTTTTATTTCGAAATATGCCACATCAGGACAAACAGAAAGTGTTACAGAGATAAATGCAATCTGTACTATTTGAGTTTAAGATTGACTCATGCAAATGAAGATTGATGCTCGAAATGGAGTGGGAAGAAGTAAGACTTATTCTTAACCCACTCCAGTGTTTGTTTTTCTACAAACTGTATAAGAGAGCAGTGTAGTCACATTTTTGCCGTACCCTGTTTGGCCTAAAGTGTTCAAATATATGAATATATTCTTCTATGTGTATTTAGGCAGCTGGTTGGGCATGCTAAAAAGTGAACATATCAGATCGATCAATCTCTATTGTGTTTAATTTTCATAAATGGACAATAGAATAGTTTGGTAAGGTAACAGATAATGACATAATCAAAATAATCCACCAACTAATGTTTAATTTCAATTTTGAGAATGAATATAGTGTAATTATCACACAGGTACAGACTCCTCTTCATCTCCTCAGTTCCAACAAAAGGACATTGTTTTGGAGTCACACTTGGGACAATCAAGGTGACCAGAGGCTTAGAAGAAGGTAATCTTATTACAGCAATCAATAGCACTGATTGAACCTGTCAAGATAAAAGCACAGAGAAGTCCAATGACAATTCTTCCCCATGTTTGTACTAGTCTCACAGTGTTCATAGAGAATATTAAGACCACTAGAGATGTGTAAAGATTTATCTGGTTGGTGAAATCCATATCTATGTATAGTAGCAAATAGTTTTCCTAAATTTCTTACAGTATCATATAAGATGAATGAGAGCACAGAGCAGTGAAAATCAAGCTTATACTGTATTTAAACTAATCAATTAATACCAACTTAAAAGAAGCGATGTTAGTGAATTTCTATAGGGGGCAATGCTTTATTTTTGGAGTCGGCAACATCCTCATTCTGCCTGGGCCACTTTTGCCTCCAAATTCTACAAAACAATGCTTTGGTTGTGGAGGAGTTCATTTTAAAGATTAATTTGAGATAGTTTTGCATCTCATATTTAATAAAAGTTGGTTGATTTGAGTAAATGTTCAAATTCTATGTGCACCAACAAGTCACTGCACTGATTTGCTGTGTGGCTTTAAAACAGTTTGTCATATAGAACTTACTTGTCGTCAAGATCAGCCCTGTGCAAAATACAACCCAATCACGATGGTGGCGCCCAAGGCAAATTCCAGAATAAGGTGGATAAGAGTAAAAAAATATTTAAGCAAAACACAAATAATTTCTACATTTAAAATTGAGGTTTTTGTCAACATAATCCTTTATACGAGTTTTTTTTAGTATATTGTTCCTTGTGAGACAAAGAGTCTTTGTTAAATTAAAGTGTACATGATTCAGTTAACATCCAGACTATTCTTAGCTTGTTGAATATATGTCTTTAGTTAGCATCCCATTACTATGCAGCACAGATCCCACAGTGCAGAGACAAACAGACTGATGTGTTTCAGTGTTGGACATGAAAAGCATACATATGTTCTTCTCCCATGCTCCGGTGTTGGACATGTGGATGCTGTAGCCTTGTGAAATGTCACTGCCCCCCCCTCAGAAATACCCACCGCCCCACCAAACCCAGGTACCGTCAAAAGGGTTGACCCCGTCCTTCAGCCTGGCATTTACAACTGTTGTCTTCTGGGACGACACTATAGATCTTGCCGCTTGAAAAAATATTCAAATGGGTTTTCAAGCAATCCCTAAAGGAAAAATGTCTCCAATGTTAATTGCTAGCTTTGTGGTCATAGTCAAGCTTTTAATGAACCATGGTAAGATCAGTCTTTTTCTAACTGATGTAGTAAGCCTCAATCAAAATGGTTAGATAGATTTTTTCTTTTTATATCTGCTTTTGTAGAAAATGTGATCATCCAATAACGAATAACAAAGTATCAGCCTCTTTTTTCTTCAATATCACAATAAAAGGATGAAGGAAACTTATGAGGACAGCCTTAACCACATTTGAACAAACAAATGATAAATAAAAGCACATAAACATTTTTAGATACATTTTAATTACATTAAAGAATAAAAATCAATTTCAATTTGGATTCTGATCTATTTCAGAGACATTAAGGCCCGTATACACAATTTTTCCCATGTATTTGAGCAAAATTTGTCTTGACTCAGTACATATATTTGTAAGCTGCTCTTAAGTTCAAAATATGTCTATTTAAAAAGAATTTTATTGTCCGATATTTAGGAAGTGCATCATTAGCATGCTAGTTGTTGCTAGCTATATCGGCACAGCAAAACTCTACTCTGGTCTCAGAGTTGTGAAAAGCGAAAAGTGAGGAACCCATCTAAAAAGAACTACTAGTACATCTGCTTTTTAAAAATCCAGGTATAGTGCCTTTAAGGTCTAAACTTTAACTGATACAGACAGGAAACAGACAGGATAAGAGGAGACTCAACTCTGACATAGCACGATCCGGATATTGAACCTGAGCCCCTGTGGTATGTGATATGTGAGCCAACAACACAGCCCCCAATGTGATATTCAGAGACCGACCATCTCTCTAAATATGATCTCTCATGTATAAAGTCTTAATGAAGGATTAGGAACCAGCACCAGTGATATTCTATAGAGACATTATGACACATTTCAGCAGACGACCTCTTGTCCACTTGAGCATTTCAGTAATATTCAGATTGGTACAGGCTGCTCATGTGGAACATATACAAGTTTAAAGCACTGAAGGGCCCATCAGTCCAAAGATTCACACAAAAGCGCAATCATAATCTTCTACGAAATAAATTATTGTAATGTCAGGAAGGAGAATTATCCTTATCTATTCTAGAAACTCACTCAATTTAATAGAGGCTTTTGGGGACAAACCTCACATGCTTCAGAGTGAGTAATAGTTTGAGCACAACATGGTGTGATGCCAAAGTTTCACAGGTAGAAGAGAAGTTGCACTTTTAAGGCTGACATTTTTAAATGTAAACAAGCTTAAGTGCACTCACCGACTGAGAAACATTTAGCTTACCCATGATGCAACGGGAAGCAAAGAACTTTTCTGTACAGTTTTCTCTTCATGTGTATGACAGTTCTTTTTGTTGTTTTTTTTTCCTCTCAAACATTTGTAAGAAAACTGTCTACACTGGTATATATATATAAGGTAGGCGATATGCAGAAACATTTATGCCACAACTTTATAGAGCTAAGATCATGATTTGAAGTCAGCATCTTTATATAGGTCATGTTATTAAGAAGTAATCTAATCATCTATTAGACTATTAGACATACTGTGATTGGTTAAATCCACCTGTCACTCATGATAATAACAGAGCCTGACCAATAAGGAGAGGAGTGGGTGGGGAAAATGTCTGGGTATATAGAGCTGCATTAAATAGTAACACAGTATGATGATTTTACCAAAATAACATACAGTCAAAGCATTCAGATCACGATTGGATTTTTATCACCATGGACTGTATAAAGAAGTGGACTAAGGGAGTATGATGCCACCCACTCTTCAGCTCCAGTCAAATGAAGCTCTCGAGGCTATACATATACATATACATATACATATACATATTTAATCTATGCATATCACTAAGCCATATGTACATATTTTAGGTTTTAAACACCCACACTTTCACATCAGGTAGCAAATATGTAGAATGGATACAGTGGAGTAGACTGAGTGCCCATTAAGTCTCATACACATCTATTGTAGCTGGAATATTAAAAAAGATGGAGAAGATGGCTCCTCCCGGAGCACTGCAGCTCGGAGGCAAAGCAGTGAATTAGCATACTATTCTCACTTCCTCTTCAGAGCGTCTTTCTTACCATTTTAAACCAGTCCGTTCAACGCTGACCCCATTTTATCCCAATCTTTTCTTAACCCGTTCTTCAGTAGCTACACTGAATATTAATGTTACATCTTTCCCTTTAGTCAGTCACCTTATCTCGAGTGGCCATTTTCAGTGCTTTTAAATCTAGTTTCAGCCCTGTAAAACATCCACTGTAGAAATTACAAGGCAAGAGCGGGTCAAGAAAATGACACCATACTGTACATTTTCAAATCAGATTATTTTACTTCTTGTATGACTTGTAATCGTGGGTTATATAGTTTGAACTTACCTCTCTCCGTCGAGAAGCCCAGCAAGTCTGTTTGATTTTCCAAACCACAGCAGCCACCAAGAGAAGGGACAGGAAGCAGCTACAATGAAATGAAAAATAAATTTATTTATAAAACGTGACACTATATGAAATCAAATTCAAAAGTATAAATGTAAGCTGTTTAAAGTGTATATGACAGGTTGGACTATTCATTTTATGAAAACACAATTAAGATTGTTATAGTTAAGATAAAAAAAAATAAAAAATCTGAATTTGCCTATTTTTTAGGTTTCAAATTTTACTTCCTGGTTGAAAACCCATAACATTACACTAGGGAATTCCATAACTATTATCTAGCAACCATACACTGGACCAAATCTCCTCTAATATACACAGGAATTATTATATGACAGATCAAAATAAAAGAAAACAGCTTTATTTTGTTGAAATCATGTTTAAAGTATCATAATATCAAACCAAATATGAAAATCCACAAACTGCTTCTTGATTTATGTGAAACTATTTATATTTACAACAGTTATTATCCCACCAAATAAAGTACAAATTATAGAATCATCAATCGTCATACACAGTTTAACATGTCACAATGCATAAACCTGCAAAGCCCTAGTAATCATTTTGAGAATTTCTGCCAAAAATGTGAAAATTAGCCATATTTTACGCGACAATAACACAAAAATCTTGCATTCATAATTGCGTTCATGACAATTTATCAATAGATTTTAACTATAATAATAATCTGAAAAAGGCATAAAAATACATCATATGGCGGCTCTAAAAGTTTCAAGATGGAGTAGATGTTGAGAAGAATTATGTAGCACGCTCGGTTCTCAGTGGACTGAATATTTTGCTCTATTACTTCAATTAATAACCCAACAGTGAAAGCATTAGTCAAGGGAAATTCAGCAGGATCTTATCTACGCTGGGACAGGAAAATGATGACTGATGAGAGCTTCTACTTCATTATCCAGGCGATGGCTCTGAATGTAAAGACTATTATAGACCTAGGCAAACGTTTATATCACATTATATATATACGGCCAAGATTGACTGCTATGGAAATACGGAACAGCTTCAATAGAATAACCCAGTTTTGATCGAGTAAGAAAATTGAGTATGCTGTATTTGCAATTTGATACTATTTTTCTCACTCTATCAACAGATAACATATATCCACAACTTCCAATCCAATTCAAAATCATGTGACCAAACTTGTGAACTGATCCGATTATTGTAAATGACTTCAAAATCTCGTCTTGTTCTCGTAGACGTCAATCTCGTGTCTCGACTGGTGAAAATTCTGCCTCGTCCCACCCCTATAATAAAGGGTTACTCAGACATGAAAATGTGAATGAAAACACAGCTCTAAGTGTGATTTTGAGGAGGCAATAGCATTCCAACACGGCTTAAAGCTCATGAGACAATTGTGCATAATTTAAAACATCCATTACAAATCGTATCACAATATTGGTCAGAAAAGTCACAATTGATATTTTATTCATTTAGTACTTGATGTAACAAGCAGCAACGTCTTTATAGACAAAATGCATGCATGTTTCTTCACTGGCTGTCATACAAAAAATGACATACAATTAAATTCCTGTTATTTCTACATCCTCTCTGACCTTTCTAGAAAATGTCTTAAAAGCTGCTATTACATCTTCCCCACAAACCAACAAACCAACCAGCCCAGCATCTCCGTCGCAGGTAACTGAATCCACTAAATTTCAAACACGAAGCCTGACATGACTATTGCCACCTGCCATGTCCTTTTATAAGCATACTTTTCACATTTCCAGCTCCAGTGTCTCTACAATTACACACATTTGTCTGATATTCAAACCTAAGAGGCAGTTATGTCCCCTGTCCTATCACTCTACAAATATTTCTCTTTTTTTTTTTTTTTTTTTTTTTTTTTAATGCAATAGGGGAAAAAAGAATGATTTTGTGGGAATTTCAGTTTTTCTACATCAAGCCAAAAGCACAGAGATTTTACTTTTGGAGGTGTGCAAGTAGGGGACCTCTTTTACTCTTTCATAGGCATCATCTAGGACACCTTTGGAGATAAACATAACTCGGGAGGGGAGGTTTTTTTCTATGTGACAGAAGTGACAAAAATCCCTGGATAGATGTTTGGCTTTCAGAGGCAGCATTTTGGAGCGGCAAGAAGCTTAAATCGCCTCCCCCGTTCTTCCTGTGGTTTAGAAATCTGCTATCGCTCATCTTTTTAAGTCTGGAAAGTGAAAGTGAGTGTTTTTTCTTGCATCAATGCTAGGGGAGGTTCATTTTTTTATTTCTATGTTAAGATTTATTTGTGCTCTGTTTCTTAAAGGATAAATTATTTTTGAAGTGCATGTGTGAAGCTGTTTGAGCAGCTGGTTTTATAAATGCGACCTTGACCACTGACATACTCTACTGTATAAATGGTTTGCCAAAGTACTGCCACAATTGTGCAAATACAGTGGGGGCTTTAGAAATCCTCTTAAAGACAACAATGGCCATAGGATACATCTAGAATAGAGACGAGAGATGAATAAATTGCTATTGAGCATATTTTCTTGTCCGTTATAAAAAAATATGGAGTTAAATAATAAATTGCTTAAAAGAAATTCTTAAAAAAACATACTCACGCAATTTAACAAGTTACTTATCGAAAGTCAAGTTGAATCCTGGATGCACATGCACAAATAATACACTGACAAAAAATATATTATTGACTGACTGAAGGAAATACTTATACTGTACTACTAATATTCTCAAAAAAAGACTGTTGTGATTTATTTTATTTTTTTTACACAGAAAGAACTATTCGACTCCTATTTAAAGACTGAGATTTTCCATTTAAAATTGGGATTTTGAACCAGAGTACAAGCTTAGAATTTGAAATTTCAGCCTCAAAAATCATTTAAAAACCCTGTGTAACCCAGTAGCAAAAGTCTTTAGCGTCTTTAGCATGTTTAGCTGATCTTAGTCTCGTCTGGCACTGATCTATTGGGTTTCCTTCTTTTAATTACAAGCGCTTTGTGTGACCTCAGCCCCCTTGCCGGCTACAGTTACTCACAAGAGGAAATAATCAATAATACATACTCCACTGCCTCTTGGAGTTTGAAAGGGCCAGCAGTTTGAAAATTAGCTCCTAAATGAACGGTTTCAGCCCCGGTTTAGGTGCTCATTGACTCTTATAGTAAGTTGAATGATTGCATGATTGAAGAAACAGACTAGTAGAATGTTGAGAACAAGCAGCCGTAACTGGTACAAAGTTGCTCATGTTAATTAGTGAAAATGAGACTCCGGGGTTTCTGTGCAAAGTGTGGCACAGCATCATGTTAAGAGTGCATCTAATCAACGCGGGAGAAAAACAATCAAAGTCTAACAAGATTTCAAACTGACAAAAGAAAGGCGTACATGGAAAAATGTGAGGGAAATCAGGGAAGAAAGAAAGCGCATTATGCACACAGGGAAGGCTTTTGAACAAAAACTACAAAAAGCACAGGAATCACAAATAAGCAAAGGAAATCATTACCTATTTGAGATTTATGGCAAATATATGATATCCGATCTGTGTTTAAAGAATATGAATAGAGTTCATACATCAAGGTCATCGGATAAAGGTGCACAATAACTTTTCTAGTGTAGGGTACACCACACATCACACATCACACACAAAAGTTTCAAAACAAGCAGGTCACAGGACTAAGTGGGGTTACAGGTCAGATCTGTGGAGTGGCAAGCTTGAATACATGATTTTTGCTATATACACCAGCAACTGAATTAATGAAAGAACTGGTTCGCCTGTATTCAGCCTCACATTTTACTATAGGTAGTTTCATGTATTTTAGCATGTTAGTGTGTGTGAGTGTGTGTGCATGTTTGTGTGTACGTGTGTGTGTGTCTGGGCTGTTTGGTTGTGTGGAGTCAGGCAGCTGTGGGCGTTGGGTGGGTGGAAGGAAATGTGGGATTGTTTTTAATCACTGTAAAGCGCTTTGTGTTACATTTTGTATGAAAAGCGCTTTATAAATAAAGTTTGAATTGATTTGATTTTAAAAACTTACTACTCTAGCTACTGTTATTTCAAGCAAGTGGCAGATCCCGCTCCAAAAGTTTCACCCAGTATGGTGTATATAAGGGGATATAATGGCATATACATTGGAAAGAAATGGAGACTGGAGACAGAGAAGAGGGCTTATCCCCAGTCAGGGCCTCCTCCTCTCTGCTCCTGTTATCTGGCCCAAACCCTGTGGGGTGATGTGACATTTGGTCTGATTATATTTCCAGCAGGTTCACTCCCGCTGAACCCTCACACAGTCACACATCTGGCTCCTGTTGACTTCACGGGTCACTGACGAACGGACAACAAGCCTGCACCCAGACGAGCAGCGGAGATACAGAAAACAAAGGCTATACTCATTCTTGCCACGTCAAAATGTAAAGAACACAAAAAAATAAAAACACTAAAACAAGACACTTTGTATAGAATTTTATGGCATCATATGTGGATTGTAGTTGCCATTTCTAATCCTACCGTAAAAATCTTCTTAATTCTTTCTTAATTCTTACAAATGAGTGCAATTGTGCTTTTCCCTCATAAAGTACATTGTCAAAGCAACATTTTGTAAAAACATTAGACTGCTGCACACTAGAAGCATCACTAATATTGACTATGTATTGACGGTCCACTCTCCTTCACTTTGCACACACCTAAAAATTCCATTCATGTGATCAGAGATGTGCCAACTGGTTTGTAGGAGGTGTAGAAACCAGTTGCATAGATTTAAATAGTTCCACCTTTCAATTACCCATCTTTAATGGTGGAAAACTGGAGAAAAACACTTCTGAGTTATAATAAAAATTACAACTGGAATGGCATCCCAGTTATTTTGAACTAGCTTATTGTTCTTTGAAATGATTGCAGGCAATTCAACACGTTTATAGAAATTGCAATTCTGAGGAAATGGGGAAGCGCTCACAACAAGTGCAATTATTTGACTATGCCTTTTATTAGCAAACAATTCAATCCACTTTCAGACATAAACATAGGCTGTCTGTGGTATTTTCTAAGAATTTCCAGATCTGGTCGATTTGGCAGTAATCTGATCAGATAAGGCAAACAATAACAGTGACAGCATTTAGGGGGAAGTTATTGTGGAGCGGCCGATGACAGCTATGTGCTCCAGGCCCAGGCGCTCTTCCATTTCCTACACAGATATTACATGTGTCGCCTATATGAAGCCACAACTACACACATGCACAGTACTATGCTAATGTATTAAGAGATAAAATGCTGTAAATAATACATAAATAAACAACTGTATGTTCTACTTTTGTTCAGGAAAAGAAAAAAAAAAAAGGGTCAAAAGATTATTGACTGTATTCTTTTTTTACTGAGTGCCTCAATTTTTCTTCACCTTAGTTTTGTTTTGTTTGGTCAACTTTGACTCTATTCTGAGAGTCTAAAATAGAACTTACTTATTAAAGGTAATTTAATGAGTTTGGGGGAAGGTCAAAGACTACAGTTGTTACTACCTTTTAAAATTTCTTCTCATTAAATTTTGTACTTTTTGTATTTTTTTCCCATTCAAGCTATACATATCCTAAGGACTTTTAATTGTTCATAGATGTGAGGGAACATTTTACAATAGCTAACACACATGCATTACAGTGGATGTCTATATTAAAGACGCACTCTAACTTTTTGGTTGGCGGTCCGTCACCTGCTTGTTTCTATGTCACTGCTCTGCCTGGAATGTTCCACAGTATGGCATTTAACACCCCTACCTTACATTTATTCAATTACAGGTGTTTTTTTTTCTTCTTTTTTTTAAGCTCCAAAATACCTGGAAAAGCATGCATTCTGACTGACCTATAACTCGGTCTGATATGATCACCATGAAAACTGAAAGGTGTAATCGTACACTGTGAAGAATTCCAGACCCTCCACCAGAAAAGTTACACAATGCACCTTTAAGGACCTTTAACTATTCATAAATGTGTAAGGGAAGGTTTTACAATACCTAAAGCACATGTATTACAGTAGATAAGTGCATATGAAATTGTAGATGCTAGTGAATTAAAGCTATTTAAACCCTGCCCCTTCTCTCCATCTGCTTTTCCAACTATTCAAATGCACAGTTTTACCTCATTCAGCAGTAAAGAGGTAAAGTCAGTGGCGTGAGAAGCTTTTCATGTTCTCAATAGTAAATGTACAGAGGGCTCAAGTAACTCTACACCCCCCTGAGAGAACAGAGTGAGGATGTGAAGGGACGGAGGGGGCTGGACGGCATTGATTGAAAGCCAATACGGCATGTATACTACAGCATACGCATTGTCTTTACTTACCTAAAAAATGTCACAAAGAACTGCACCAGGTCCATGATGCTGTTGTGTTGAGAAAAGGCGATCTGTAGCAAAAAGCACAAGAAACACTGTTAAATACACGTTTAATTTTAAAGGAGTGCTGTATAACTTTTTGGTTGGTCTGTTTGGTCTATTACCTCCTTGTTTCTATGGATATGTCATTGCTTTGTATGGAGTGTTCCACAGTATAACATTAAATCTTACATTTATTTAAGTACAGGTGGTTTTATAGCTCAAAAATACCTAGAAAAACAGGCATTCTGACTGAGTGGGGTTGCCTCTCCACAGATCTGACTTGTAACTTGGTCTAGTTTGGTCTCCATGAAAATAGAAAGGTTTAAGGAATATTCCAGACAACACAATAACACCTCCACGGGAAAAAGCATTTGACAGACCTTCTACCAGAAAAGTTACACAATGCACCTTTAAAAATCAAGGCCTACACATCTGTCAACTATCCATGTGTTTCAAAATTATTTCACTACAAAAAACTGTAAAATAATTATGTTTTTGTATATTACACTTTGATCATTTTGCATCTGACTACATAATATATTTTGTCATAGTAATTAGATGGTAGATAGTCAGATATTGCATTCTAAAGGCAGAAAAAATATTTGGAGTATTTTATGGATAGCGTTAACTAGTAAAAGGACTATACAATTCATTTGTTGGATATTATGCAATTTCTATGTCTCATTATTGCAATAAGCCCTGCAGAATCACATTGCATGTTAACAGGGTCAGATACATTTGTCTATCTTCTCATTAAAAGGTATTTCTATGAAGTTACAATCATACATTCACTGGAAAAGGTTTATAGCCAGTGAATGCAAACATGTAAACACATAACCAAGATGTGCAGAAGTCTCTTTAATGGTACGGTGAATGAACATGGCCACAACAAGTCTATTTCTAGAAAGACTTAATTGAACACGATAAAAGCCAGATTTGATAAAGGTAAATTGATTTTTTTTCTAAGCCAAAAATGTCAGGGTAGAAATAGAAAGTGAACTTCTGCCCTTTTAACGTTCTGACCCCCTTTAAGTAAAAAATAGACTCTGATCTTGAACAAAATGCGCAGTGACCAGGCTAACATGACTCCAAAGCACATATAATTGTTAGCGTTTTGCAATAGGGCTCAATACACTTTCTAACCACTTTGACATAATGTGGAGGTCAAAGCAATTCTCAAAGGGGTTAATTTAGTTTTAATTCAACAATATTGGTCAGTCAATAGCAGCAAATAGAAGACATATGGCACAAAGATACAACCCTGACAATTAGCTTCTCAGTATATTGTATATTAGGTCTAGCTCACAGCTTTTATCAGTCATCTATATATAAATGATTTGGATATTGTTTTCAAAAGCACTTTAATACAGTTTCAAATTCTGTCTTATCTCAGCTGCATCTGTGCTCTACCTGATCCCGTTACAGCAGCTTTAACAGCCACTCCATAATGAATAAGTGACTCTCGCCGAGGAAATCTAATAAAAAACTATTACTGGACCACCTCCACTGATGGACTGACCCCCAAGATATTGTTACCCCCTTCATGGTCCAGTCATCTATAACGGCTGCACAGGAGAGGCTAATCTAAAAATCTATAGCATACAATGGACTATTTGTAGATAAGGTTTTATGTTATATCGTAATTGTTGCTACAGTCATATACACACGATTACTGCCTTCTATACTGTTCATAGCATGTAGCCCTTATAACAAATGATCAATAAAGGAAACAATAGTCGTCACATAGCAAGGCATACCATGATCTATTATATTATGGTAGTCAAAAAAATCTATACTATATATATATATATATATATATATATATATATATATATATATATATATATATATATATATATATATATATATATATATATATATATATATATATATATATATATATATATAGCATATATATATATACTAATTGATACTAAAACTGAGTCTGAACCAGATCGTCTTTTAAACAGGAATTATTGAACATAATCAAGACAGAATGTAACTTTTAGAATGGTCTTATATTACAACTAGTCTCAGACCAGATGGTAATGTAAAAAATAGCTTCACACTGTTTAAAATGAGTGTTTCATTTTCATTGTCGAATTTAAATCAGCGTCATGTGTATTTTCCAAGTATTAAAAACTACAGTTTGTATTTTTTGGGGGCATCTGGTGCACTTTTGGCCCTATCAAATAAATAACAAATATTATGTTGTCATGACTTAAATATAATCAAATAAAGGAAACTCTATAAAAGTCATCAACTTTCAGTTTGAGAAACAGAAGGATCGTTTGGTTATATAGGCCAGTCTTAAATCCCCACATGCGCGCAACCAAAAATTACTGACACAATCATCTGGAAAATTATGAAAATTATAATGGCTGCCAAAAATACCCAACCCACTAGAAACAACTGCCACAAGGAGAAATGTTCACTATAAGGGCCCATATTAAGCCATTTTCTCATCTATGTTATAATGTTGTTTCCTCATTAAAACATACCTGGAGTGTGTTTTGTTTCATTCAAATATGTTTAACACACAAACAAATGTGTGAGTCAAACTAAATTCCCCATGTTTCTGAGGATGTAACAACATTCTAACATGGTGTAATGTGCTCACACGAGTTAGTTTTGCGTAATATAAGACCTTTAACGGCATGTGGTTATACAGTTAGTCCTATCTGTCCGATATAGAGCCATGTTTGAGAAATTTGTATTCGTTGAGGCGATCTCATAAGCCACAATATCGTAAGTGTAATCATTAGTTTGTCAAAATCCAAGCTTAAATCTTTGCATCTAAATGACTAATGGTGTTTTTTTGCGAAATGTTTTTACCAGCTGTCATCCTGCCAGCTTTGATTTGTCACTCCAATCAGTTAATGTAGAAGTGATAGGGATAAATTTGAGTTTGGCCCACCTTCCATATTTGTCAGGGCAAATTAATTGGCTATATATGTTGTAAATAACCTGAAACTCGCATTTGTTGTTGTCACCGGAGCCAAGCGCCTTCATCTTGGAGAAGGTTAAATGGTGCTTTGCCGTTTGCCCGCTAAAAAAACAGCTGTGCACCTCTGCGCACTAACCAGCGCTCATTAAATCTCTAATTAGAATAAAGTGCACTTGAAATCACCCTGAACAACAGCGGGGCTCTGTATGTGCATAAGATGTCTACCTCTGTAATCATTATGTGCGTCAGTCAGGTAATTATTGGGACTAAATACAGTTTTCTTCATCTTACCCCTTCCCCTTTACTCTCCCCTGTTCTTTAAAGTGGCTCTGGTAGGTCCCTAAAAGCCTGCATTGGTAGACATTTAACATTCATTTGCATAATCTCATGTGCAGTTTGCTACAGTCTGAAACTTTCTTTATCACAACAAATCATTTACTCTAATTATGCAGGAATTTTGTTAAATGTCAGTTCTATGTCAGATGCCCTTCCTGTTCAGGCTTCAAGGTGCATTGGCTTATGTTCCCTTGTGTCAGGACAGAACTGAAGAACTGTTAAAGAAGACTGATTTCCATAATATATTTTTTAATCACTTTGGATTTTAGAAATTCCCTAAATGTTCGGCATTTTGTGGGCAGAGCTTAGTATTCTATGTTTTTATCTTTTTTATTTTGATTTTGATTTTATTTTTTTGAGTTAAGATTAGAGTTAGGTTGAGGAACAGTTAATCTGGTTAATTTTAGGTCTTTGGACATGGAACACTACTGCTGTCCAAAAACAAAATGAAGAACATAGGAGGTTCCTTGGATTTTAATGAAAATAAGGCATTAGTCTTATATATTGTTTTACCAAAAAGCTTAAAGCTACAATTTTGTGCAATATTCATTTAATACTCAGTGATGGTAAGGGACTTCTGTAGCTACAGCTGCCCTGGGGCAGATTGACTGAAGTGCCAATCTGCACCATCAGCCCCTCTCACCAGCACCAATGACTTGAAACTGAATTCCCAAGATGAGATAGGACCATGTGGTACAAAGTGTTCAGAGCAGTTATTTTACCTGGATCTTGATGGGCCAGGAGAAGTTGCTGACGTACACATAGAAGGTAATGTTGGGATTACTTCTAAATGTGAACTTCTCGCAGGAAAAACTGTCACGGTATTCCTTGATGTTGGTTTTAGACACGATGGGCACCTCCTCCCCAGAGATGGTGCCAGCTGTCAGGGCAAAGGTCACAATTAGCAGGGAGCCGTGCGGAGCAGTGAGAGCTACCTACAGACTCAGATAAAAACGTCTAGTGACAACATATCATTACAAATCCATTAATGGTGTATCACAACATTGAAAACAACAGGGGGACGCTCATCAGCCGTCATTATTATGTCTTGAGTGTTTTAACATTTGTGCATGACCTGAAACCAAACGGGGCTTTATTGCATAATTACACATGCAAAACTATATTTTAATGGGGGAGGAACAAAGAGGTGGTAGAAAGGCACAGCTTGACAGAGAGGCTTGAGAGGCTGTTGCCCATAGGTCCTGACTGACTCATGCTAACACATATTCATCACTGACATCCACAGCAACCACCACTTACTGCATCAGGTTTCAGAGCCACACTTGGCGTCTGCACTTTTAATACTGCGACTACTGTTAATATACTGAGAGGAAAGGCAAGGACAAACAAACTAAACATTAAAAAGTGTCAAAATATGGATTATGAAATACTACTACTGAAATGATTTGTATTAGTATCTCCAAAAGGTTGTCAAAAATGGATACCACATTTACTAATAGATGCAAAAACTAGTATCACAACTGGATACTGGATTAAGCAGGTATCAATGCTGGAAAAAAAAAAAAGTAACTGGGCTGAATTTGGGCGTTTCCTGAACAGATTTATTCAAGTCAGAATTAGCATTATTGCACATGGTGTTAAAATATTTAGTGTTGAAAATTACATTCTATTGAATAAAAGTTTTTATTTTAATTTCTTGACTTAAAATTCTGTAATTTGTCTTACTGCTGATACTGGTAGGATTTTCTTGTTTTATAATTTATTAAGTTATACTGTATCTTTTAAGGAAAAAAGAAAATCTGCAGCAAATTTCATATTGTCTCTAACCATTTTAAAGCATATATAAATATAAGTCTACAGTTTTATTATATATTGTGATTTTTGTATAACTATTTATATACTATTGTGTTTTATATTATGTGTATTATACTATGTATTATTTTCCAATTAAATGCATCTAGTTTTGTTACCCCCAAGCTAAACGCATGCCACATTCTGATCCACTTGGCACCATACTGACAGCTGATAGATCGTCTGCCTTTATAGCTTGTTTATAGACCGCAAAGGAAAATTATCACATTTTGAGCAGCTTTTAACAGACTCTTTATCCCATTTATCTCTATGTATATTTCTCATTTATCTTCTCATAATTTCATATTCGTCCTCGTGTCACAGAATCGGCCGCATTGACATTCCAGCCCACGAGTGTGAAACAAAAGAAGTGAAAATGACAGCTTTGAGTGTGGCGACGTGCGAGTGTTTATCTTAATTGAAATCACCCTCCCTGTCTCAGCCCCCAGCAGCACCACCTAAAGGCGCCTCGTGCTCCAGCCGATTATACAGAGTATCCCAATACTGACTAACAATATCTTCTGTGCTTGGTGAAAAAGAGGGGATCCAGGTACATTAGGACTGTGGCCAAAACGGGGACTGAAATATGTCAGGAATGGAGAAAGAGTTAAGGCTCAAGTAAGACATGAATAGCTCTAAAATGTTATAATACTGGGAAAAAATAATATTATAACACTGATCAAGACATATAAGCATTGTTTCGCCTAAATAATTATTCATGTGAAAATGCAGCAACTTAAATGAGATAATTTACATAACTTTCAAGATAAAAACTGGGGGAAATTACACACTCTAGCCTTCTTCTTGGTTTTGATAGTACATTAACTTCTAACCACAAGATGGCAAAGTCCTTGTAGGTTCTCCTGAATTGGAAAATGGGTGGGAGAAAACTGATATCTCCATGAAAAAATCTGATGTCAAATCAAAACAAGAATTACATGTATTTCAGAAGATGTTTGTAGAGTAGTAACTATAATGTTGATAGGTCTTGCATGTTCGCACTCAGAGAGTATTTTTGTGGTTTGCATAGAGCATCATATTACCTACATAACTGCTATTTTTGCATGTTCCTAATTAAGACCATACAACTACATTGTGATTACATTCATAACATACTCCATACAGCTGAACAACAATTCACCCTTATGTGATAGATACTATAACTCCATGTCATGTCAATCACCATTTCATCTTTGCACTGTTTATCCTTACCCACCTCCTGTATGTAGCCCAGATATAGTTTGTATTACTATTTTTCTATATTTTATTTTTACTTGTACATGTACTTAATCAACACAAGTCTCTTGTTATTTTTGCTACTTATTTTGAATGTATTATTACCATTTATATCGTTGCTCATTGTTATTATAATATACTGTGATGTGTGAGCTACTGTGTCCAAACAATTTCCCCTATGGATCAATAAAGTTTGTCTTTAATTGTAATTTATCATCTCAATAAACACAATAACAATACATTTTTGTTCTTGAGGGGTGGGAGATAATACGTTTAATTTCATCTCACTCTTTTTCAAGCTAAATTCAGTGTGTTTTGACAGAATTGATGAATGCTTGATCATGGTTGATCATTTTTAAATGTACAGTTTTGTCTATTGGTGGTTTTCAGATTCTCGAATATGATGATGTAATATTCCCAAACAGGGGCAAGAGCCAGATTTCCCTATTGATCACATTGTACCAAAATATTCATTACTATTAGTGACTAGACCCCAAGTAGTCACTGCATTTCAACAAAAATCCACATTTTAACAAAATCTATTTTAGCTGCCCCCCCATTTGTTTTGAAGGGCCCATACTATACGCATTAGTTTCTGATCCCTGTTATAATGTTGTTTCCTCATCACAAACATAGCTGGAGTTCATTCACATGTTTAACAAACAAACCCTGCATATTTAGGCTGAGTTCTTCAAACAGAAAACAGTCCACTGTGTTTTTAAACTCCACACACCTTCACTAGAATCATTTGGATAATTTCATCCCTGGAATTGCCAATCTCTACTGAACTAAAGGTAGGTTAACTTGAAACTAGTACTTCATGACATCACAAGGTAGAAGAGAGTATTTTGAGCTTTGGTGATGTAGACAGACTGATGATAAAGGGTTACTCAAATGAATGAAACAAAACACAACTTCAGGCATGTTTTTGATGAGGTAAAAGCATTATAACATGGCTTAAAGCTCACAAGAGTCAATTTTGAGTAATATATGACCTTTAAATATTATTGACCTATAGAATGTTGTGATGATAAACCCAGCAATGCTTAAAATAACCTAAACTGAATATATTTGCTTTACATATTATGGGAACAGCTGGGCACAAATCTGGAAATTGTCCGGCGCATTCCCAAATCTGTGTTTACCAGCAACATCGGTGTCTGGCCTTAGGAGGGAGAGAGAAAGCAGGAGGTAAACAGAACTGCAGTGTCCTTGGGTGTCTGTCCTCAGGGGAGCCATAACATCCACTCAACAGTAACGCCATAAACACGGACACATGGCGGGAACAACATAGCCGTAATTTTGATTGGTCTGAATAAACACACAAAGTTAAGTATCCCAATTTATATTCAGCTCCGAAAAACAACCACTTCAAACTACATTTTTAAGGTGCTTCACAAAAACAAATGAGGAGACGCACTTATTTTTATACAACTGTGAAGCCTCGCGACCCAAATCTGTAATAAGTGTTTTGTGACCTACTGCTGCTTATTTTTATGCTCTTTATGATGATAATGCAAGAGGACGGCGTTTGAACTTGGAAAAATCATATTTCCATTGTGTAATTGCGAAATGGACGACAGTGAGACAAGAAAGGAAAACTCATTATCAGGCAGTTTGTTGACCACTTTTCGGGAAATGTCTGTTCAATTCAAACTTTTTGTATTTAAATGAGCAGGTAAAGTGTGTTCAGCTTGGTGTTTCTATTAAAATATTACCTGTTGATCCCACAGACCAGGTGATGTTGAGGTTGAAGTTATTAGATGCGTTGATGGACATGTCCAAATTCTTGTTGGCCTGAAATGAAAAATAAATAGTTCTTCAATAATAAGAAAATTGGAAGAAAAAAAAAGTAATTTCTAACTTGTTAAGTACCTGTTCTGGGGAGGCCATGAAGTTGATGGCAGTGTAGTGATTGTCATCTTCTTGGATGAGACTAAAGGTAAACTGGTAATCGATAAGAAGATTATCTGTGTAAAAAGCAAACAACAGAAAATTAGAACTTCAGTTCAGTTGAACTCCATGTACAAGGTTAGAGCTTATATATTTATAGAAATAATATTTCAGTGTGTATGTAATTGAAGTGATCGAGTCAATAGTTTCAGTTTCAGAAGTCTATAATCAAATCCACAATTGGACAATTTTCTCAAGTGGAAACTGCAATCCAGGTCTGACTCTCCCCTGAGGGTGACGGCGCTGTTAATTTAAAGAGCTTTTTTTAATCATAGGCCAATAATGATAAAAGATAGAGAATCATCTTTTTTGCCACAATGGTACAACCAATATTGTTAATTAAGCATTCAAATGTAATCTAAGATAAGTGGTAATCAACTTAAGTGTGAAGATTTGAGAGGAAATATTAATTAATAGAAACATAGGTTATGAAAATTTTCAATAAAAAAGGAAATATATGAACAGATTTGTATTTATTCATTCATTGCTAAAAATGGTTCAGTATGCCTTTATCTCATAGAAATCATGCATCATCTCACCTCTAGGAATGTAACAATATTCAAATCTCTTGGTACGATATTATCATGATGCGATATTTTCAAGACGCTGATATAATTGTAGATAAGAAACTTTTTTTGCTTTTACCTTGACAAGATTTTGGTGTAAATTATTTCAATCATAATCCCAAGAATTCAAGTAAAAAACATATCTCTTCATGTTGTTTGCACTGAAAGGCATTATGGAATGTGTAGTTTTTCACAAGCTGTTGCCACTGTAAAACAATGCATTTAAGCAAAGGAACTTGTAATTAGATATACTGTGACAGCCCGCGATATTATTGTGAGACTTGACGATACGATATCATGATATTTTGGTTGTTACGTCCCTCTGCATTTTTAAAAGAGCCATTTTCATAATTATCAGACAGTTACATCAGAATCAGAAGAAACGGTTACCAGGCATAGAGCCATAAAGTGCACTCTATGTTCATTCATGTTCACTGGCCTTTGAATGTAATAAGCCACATGTTCATAATGACGCGAAACATATCAGTACACGAAAGGTCTGTGAGCTGTGCAGAGGTTAAAACTAGCCCCCAGCTTCAAACCGCCTTCACAACACCATTTATGTCAGCCAGAGAGGTATTTTAGTAAAGCCGACAAAAACCTGGCTATTGTTGTCACTCCCAGAATGTCAAAATGGAGACAACAAATTACCAAGTAGCGTAGCAGCGTGAAGGACACCGCGGTGGCTTCAAGTAAATAAACACGCAAAGCACAAGTTCCAATATGTACTCTATCCACTCCAGGAACAAAACGAAAAAACAACTAACATCTATCCAACTTTTCTAGATGAATAAACGAGTGGGTGGGTGATTTTGAGAGCACATGACAGTGAAGTGTAGACTCTTGTTTTTAGCTCCTCCTTGATTAGCTCACTCGCTAGCTACTTCTGATGCACTTGACATTTTAGCACGACAAGTCATTCTGTCGCCGAACAAGCGGGCGCCCCTGGTTTTTCGCCAAAGTGCTAAAATGCTCCATCTGCCTCGAGCGGAAGTGGAAAAGTGGGGGAAAGAGAGACAGAGAGAGAGAGAGAGGAAAAAAGGAAGATAGGAGAGGGGGCACAGAGCGAGAGACAGAGAGGGAGAGAGACACTGTGGTAGAGAAAAATAGAGATATAGAGGGGAAGAACGACAGAAAGAGACTATAAGAGAGTGAGAGTGACAGAGACAGAGAGAGAGAGAGAGAGACACTGTGGGAACAAATAGAGATGGGGGGGGAGAGAAAATGACAGTAAGAGAGAGTGAGAAAGACAGAGAGACAGAGAGAGAAAGAGAGAGACAGCGAAAGAGGGGAGCAGCCCAAGAGAGAGACAAGACAAGAAGAAAAGGTAAGAGTAACAGAGTGAGGGGGGTGAGAGAATGAGAGACAGACAGAAAGATAGAGAGAGAGGGGCAGAGAGAAATAGAGAGAGAGACAGAGTGACAGAGAGAGAAAGAGAGAGACAGACAGAGAGGGGAGCAGTTCGAGAGAGACAGAGAGAAGAAGAGAAAGTAAGTGATAAAGAGAGGGGGTGAGAGAATGAAAGACAGTGTGTAAGAGAGAGAGAGAGAGAGAGAGGGAGAAATACTGGGGTGAGAGAATGAGAGACAGTCAGAGAGACAGAGGGAGGGGGGCAGGGAGGGAGAGAGAGAAATAGAGAGAGGAAAATAGAGAGGAAAAGACAGTAAGAGAGAGTGACAGAGAGAGAGGGGACCAGTGTGAGAGAGAAACAGAGAGAAGAGGAGAAAGTAAGAGAGAGTGACAGAGGGGGAGTGAGAGAATGAAAGACAGACAGAGAGAGGGGGGCAGAGAGAAAAAAAGAGGAAGAAAGAGAGAAAGCGACAGTAAGAGAGGGTGACAGACAGACAAAGACAGAGAGAGACACAGAGACAGAGAGAGAGACACACACAGAGAGTGACAGAGAGAGAAAGAGAGAGACAGATAAAGAGGGGAGCAGTGCAAGAAAGAGAGAGAAAGGGCAAGAGAGAAAGTAAGAGAGAGTGGAATAGAGAAAGACTGAGAGAATGAAAGACATGACACAAGACACAAAGTGTGTAAGAGAGAGAGAAAGAGAGAGCGAGAGAGAGAGAGAGAGGGAGAAAGAGTGGGGTGAGAAAATGAAAGACAGAGAGAGAGAGAGAGAGAGATGGGGCAGAAAGAGAAATAGAGAGGGGAAGAAAAAGAGGAAGAGACAGTAAGAGAGTGACAGAGAGAGAGAGAAGAAATAGAGCAAAAAAAAAAACAAAACTAAAAAAACAGCTGTGAGAATAGCCAAGAATAATCAGAACTGGGGGAGTGGGTTGGAGAGTACGTTATGAGTTCCCCAAGTCCAAAGAAGAAGTCATCCAGTTTGGAGTTACTCACAGTAGCAGGTCCCTCGGAGTGGATTGCCAAGGTAACGGTTTTCTGAGTCACATCTGCAGTGGAAAAAACACAAGAGGAGAGAGGACGTGATGAGCACTAACAGATTGAGAGAAAAAGGAAACAAAAGTGTCTCCTTATCAGAAGTAGAAGGAAGGTGCTAAGTGCCAGGACATTAACTCCTGCTGTTGGCGCCTCATCAGCCTCCACTTCTCACAAAAAGAATAATCTGATAGTTTGTAAAAGTTAATTAGTTTTTTCTATAAACTTTCTTCTATCAAAGCTGCACAGTGACATACATCAGAACTTTATGTACCTGATCAGGCAGAGAGGGAAAAGTGATGTGCTAATCCTTAAATACTCGGAGGAAACAACTTATGTAAATTTATCGTTGATTATGTGTGATCTCTAAGCCTAAACTGGCATCTGAAATAGCAAATTAAGCAAAACTACATCATGTTGACTCAGGTAAACAATCATAAGGATCTGAAAGTGCAGACCAAAAACGCAGGCACCCAGGGCAACTCAAACCTTAGTTCACCTCATCCATTAATGATGGGCTTTAGAGTTCAGGCATGATTATTTGTGTTGTTGTTTTTTCAACATGTATTTGACAAGGATAATTTGAAGTGATTGTGTTATGTTATTTGCTTTTTGCATTTCTGTGAGCAAAAAGGGGTTATGCCGTTTTGGAAAAAAAAAACTTTGACTGAGATTTGACAGGTTTATCTGAGATTCAGCAGAAATTACAAGCCAAAGTCTAGACCACTTTCAATCACTGGACAATTTTAACATCGAATGGCCAAGTACACACATTTTGCGACCATACTGTGTGAAATAAAATGCAGAAGGGTCTTTTATTGAAATTTTAAAATTATAACCAAACACAAACCGTTTTTTGTTTTTTGTGAAACATTTTAAACAAATAACAGCCTGATAGCCCCAGCACCATTTCATACTAAACCAAAAAGTGAAAACCCTTTCATAAGCACCTTAAAAGGGTTCATTCTCATCCAGTTTATTATGGTCAGCTTTTACAGTTCACTTTGCCTTTACAGACAAAGCTAAAGTGAAGATATCACATTTATTCTGAAATTATTTAGCCATTTCAGGGTAAAAACTGTTCTGATGATGTCCTCTGAGGGCACATTTTGGAGCCTGGACATTTGCACCAAACCACACAGCACACATCATCAGCGCAACAAGTAACAGTGTAGAATCAGCCAAAAGTGTCTGTGCTTTTATAACACAAGTGCTCAGAACCAAATCTGTTGACACCAACTGAGTGCGGACAGTTTTAAGGCAGCAATGTATCAGGAGAGAAGTTTCTTCAAAGTACACACAACTAGAGTGGTTTCACCTGGTCTCTGACTCAACCATTTGAACACGTTCTATTTTTCTATAACTTAAACGTGGTGCATTTAGGGACATTGTGTTTTTGTCTATTTGGATACTGTATACTTATTGTAAATACTCGATACTTAACGTAAATCATACCATATTATTATTATCTTTTTTATTTCTGTCTTATTTTAGTCTTTTTCAGAGGTCAAATTTTGATATTGTTTTGTTGTCATTAGATGCCAACTGATTCACATAAGGCTATAAAAAAGGTTACATTTAGGTCAGAGCCAAGGGAACATGAAGTGAAGGACAGAAGGGGACTAAACCATCTGAATGCCATGAGGAGGTGGTGAGTGACTGCTGCTGATGTAGTGGTGCAAAAGTATGACACAGCCCCTAAAAATACAAGCTTGTTTTGTGTTTGAAATGTTCTAAAAATCATGAGCTAATGTTATCACCAGTCGAGGTTTATGTCAGATGTGCGTGGAGCCTTCGCACAGTCTATGTGTGATAAACTGAGTCTGCAGTCACAGGGTCACATGTGTGAGCCAGTTGGGACACATCACAGCCATTTTTAAACCTGACATTTGCAAATCTCTGTGTATAAGAGCTTATGGCTGTAGATACACGGATTTATCAGGTGTAGTTTTTTTTTTGCTTAGAGCAAAAAATACATATATTTTGCACATTTGATACAACAAATTTCTTTCTCTCGTAGTTTGCATGATCTTTTACAAAAACCTTTTTGGTGCTATCCTCTGCCTTTATTTATGCTTGAGACTGGCACAAGTAAACTACTGCGTGCTTTTAGTGTGAAGGGCACAGTTACTAGTAGTTGCAATCTTCTGTTTCCTTCTGTTTAAAGTATTATAACATCTGTTACAGTCATTAATCTCAGAATGAGACAATATGCTTGGTTGATTTGGTGCAATAGTTTGATTGATGTCAACGTTTAATTGTTTATGAAATGTGGTTTAATAAAATTAGTGCATCATCATTTCTATTTTTGTTTCATGCAATGTTCCAACGTAAGAAAAAGGACGCCATCTGGGTTAAACGACTCACTCTATTGCTACTTTCTTTCCCTGTCCCTTGTCATAAATATTTTATTTGATCCACTTTTTAAGGTAAATATATTGCTGCAAAATGTCCATTTAAAGTTAAACAAACATAAGGGAGAAGCAGCAAGTTAAGAAAACAGGGGCTGTAATTCTTAAAGTGAGTCAACACAAGCAGGGCAGAGTGCTCTTTTCCACAGAGTACAGAGGACAAGTGCAGCCAGGAGCTTTTCAACCTCACCACAGCACCACTCACCACTGGGCGCTTTTCTGCTGCCTGACATTTACAGATGGCCACAGAAGAAAAAACACACCCACATACAAGCACACACACAGAAGCACACACATGCACACACTTCATCATGGGGTGTATAAAGGCACTCTCCTCTGTATCTTAATTTCATCTACACCTGCATGCATGCATGCTCACATCTGGACTGCAGCCAAGCCCACTACATTTTATCTTAATTTGATCTACAGTCGGCTGCTTGAATCTCTGTCTCTGTTTGCACACATTTAACACATCATACAAATGGATTCTGGGTAAATAAAATAAAAATAGTCTTGTTACCTCTGGCACGTGCCTGGATAATATATGCATGCAAAACTATTCCTCCCCTTTGACTCACTGATGTATTTTCAAAAATAATTTCAATTCTGCGCAGATGCTCTCCTCTTCATTACTGCTGCTATTATTCTGTAGTGCTAATGGCGCCGGCAGCTGTGTACATGTGTAGCGCAGTGTTGATAGACTGGTACAGTATGTGGGTTGGTCTTTGTTTAAAAAGGTGACTCTGTCACTGATACATTTGGGGAGCACTGATTACATGTAATGGGATACCTGAAATGACATTATAATAGACAACAGCAAGCACTCTGCTCTGAAATAATTAGGTTATACAAACATGTTTTGATATGACAATGCGTCTGCTGTTTTGGGAGCTTACATCACTTCACATGGTGGGAAAGTAATTGAATTTAATTAACAGCATGGTCCTTATTAGAGGTTGATAATAGTAAAGGCCTAATACAAAGCTAAATGGAAGTCCGAGTCATGTTAGTGATGGCAAAATGACCACTTGGCCACGTGTGTCTGCAGCCCATGCCTCTGCTCCTGTAGGTTATACAGGAAGTAATTTGCATCAGCCGTTATCCACCTGTTATCCGACTATTGCGCAGAATTGTACAAAACACAATTCCATCTGGCAGAGGAAATTAAAGTGCCCGTTTATCATCATGCACAGAGTAATTCAGTTTACTCCAGGAGTCGGGAAGGAAAAAGGACTTGGTTCATGTGTATTCCTAACACTAGCTTTTGTTTTGCTTTCTCACCATTTTCGTTTTCATTTGTGCTTAAAGTAGTCAAGTGTTATTAGTCTCAATGGTACTTCTCCAACAGTGGTTTTATAAATGAGCTGTCAAGTTCAGTGTGAAGATTTTGTTATGATTTGTTTAGGAAAAGTATGGTGTGGCTTTGTATAGCTTGTCAAAATTTTGGACATTTTATTTATTTTCCACTTATTCTCATTAAGATTTGACAACAACTATGGTAGGAGGCTGGATGATTGCTGGATACTTTTAGTATCAAAGAGTATTCATTTTTTCGAGGGACAATATACAAAAAAAGTTATTATATTTAGTTTATTTATTTTTTCAAATAAATTAATAATTGTAATAATCCAATTGATTACAAAAAAGAAAAGAAAATCAAATGGTTGATTCCTGGAATTACAAAGAAAAGAGCAGCAGCCGCTCTGGAGATTTGGCACCAGTGGCTCCAGAATGGAGATCTACAATATCACATCATATTACAAGAAAGTAATTCATTTTTCAAAATGCTGGGAATAATTTATTAATTTATCATGGCTACCCTTCTCAGAATTACGGAATTATTTGGAGAAGAAAGAACAAGAAAAGATCTAGCAGTATGGTGATCACTGAGAATTATACAACCAGTCAGCTTGTTGAGGCCACTCTGGGCCATTGTCCTGACACAATGGAGGTCGGCCTTCAAGCAAGTCTAGATTCTGTGCAGGTAGCTCAACCTGAAATCCACATTTGTCCTGTCACAGTAGAGGAGACAGAGCAAGGCTGGAGAATGCAGTTCCAGCCCATGCTTCTCCAACCCATGCATCTCTTGCTCCCAGGGGACCTACATTCAACAAAAGGCCCAATAATGCATGCTTTTCTTTCCCTAAGAAACAGGGCTGGTCTAGACCCAATACTGGAAACCAGAATCTAGAAAACATTGAGCGGAGGTAGCAGTATCCATGTCCTAACTGTGGCGAGAGGAGGCGGCTTCCAATAACCCCAGTGCTGATCACCGAAGATACGTCAAGAAAATCTGGCATCAGAACAATGGAACAGAGATGTCTCCAGCACCTAAAAACTCTATCCCAAGAGGAGGAAGAAGACCCTTTAACACTGGACAGGCAACAGAGAGAAGAGCCAATGATGGCAGACCTAGATGTCCAAACAAAACCTACAGGGAGACATCTTAAGCTCCCGACCAGATAGAGAGGGACTAAAACGCAGCAAGGCACAGGCTGAAGCAACACAAGCTTCAAAGCAGAAAGAAAAGCCTAAGTTTGTGCTGGCTCCTATACCCACAGAAAATGCCTGGTTTAAGAAAACTGAAAAAACTAAGAAAAAAGAAGAAGAAACGTGCCAGGGCTGGATTCCGCTTTTGTTTTGGTGATAAACCAGAAGGCGATGTAATCTACCTCAACTAGATTCACCCCGGGACCCCTTTTTCCCCCTCACTCCAGTAATGCCCCTCCTCTTCCCCCACTAACCCCCCTCCCAAGGCTGCTTATAGTCATCTACAGTTGACTCAGGTGAACTATATAATTGTCAATTCAACAATTGAAATATAGTTCTTTTGAATGTTCAGTATCTTGTGCCTGTGTTGTAGATTAATAGATTCGAGAAATATTGCATTACATCAAACTACTGGAGCAGTATTTAGTCAATAATCAACCATATCATTCCACTACAATAACAATTTTGTTTTTTTCCAGAATAATTTAAGTGTTCAAATAAAGCTTTATGTGTACTCTTTAAGCAGCTGGTCGGTCAAAACTAAATATCGGCCTGTAGTGGAGATTGAAGCAGATGTGCCAAAAGTGCAAATATCTGCAAAATATACTGGCCAAGACCACCTACCAACAAGATTATATAGTGCACCAACTCTAAAACCTTTAAATTAGATATATGTAGTTCAATTAGGCTTCATCTTTTTGGCAGAAGCAATAGAATTTGAATGCAAATCTAGCTGAATCGTCATGAATAATGTGGTTTGAGACAAAGGAGGAGACAGATCATGGCTGGATGTGGGTGTGCTTCCTGCATGGGTCCTGTTTGCCAGTGACCCCTCCATAACTCTTGCTGCATTAGAGGTATTAAAATCACCCGGCTGCATTGTGCTTACCAGCGGGAAAGCAGAGCACTAAGTGGAGATGGGCCTCCTACACTGAGGGGATCCTCCATAGTCAGCACAAACCACATAGGGGGTGGGGTTTGGGCCTGACAGTTGTGTTTACGCTGCCAATCATTAAGACATTAAAATCTCCACATGAGGATAAACAGGCTGTCAGTGATACTCAAGTGTCGTTTTATAAATCTGTCAAAGCACAATTTCAACCCACCTTTTCATATGCAAATTATGTGCCGTATTGATTATATTAGGAGACTCTATATAAATTTAACGACATCAATAAATGTCAACGGTTGGTTGGTTATTGTCATTGGCTTTCAACTAAGTCTATATATACTACCAGTATAGAACTTCTGCCAAAGCGAATACATTTCTGAATTCTTTACAAGAAAAAAAATAAGTAATCTAAATTGAGCTACACATACAATATTGATACTGATTAAAAGCAATACCAATATTGTAGGAAAATACATTGCAATTAGGGGTGGGACGAGACAGAATTTTCTCAAGGGTTCCATGTCTCTGTGTGGAGTTTTTTGGCTACAGCTGCTCAAAGATACGCAACTTTCCAGAGCTTGACCAAGGTGTGTAACTCTTTCATGCCCGTGCTAAATGTAAAGAGATGTAAAGATTGTTTTTCCCATGTGCGCACAGTCTTGTGGCAATTTGATCTTGCGAGATCTCGTCCCATCCCTAACTGCAACAGCATCAATGTTCTCCATCTGACAGATTACAAAAAAAGACAGTTTGGTTAAATTAAAGACAAAGTTAGGATCTAAGATTGAGAATTTGATTTTTCTCAGTAATCAGTGCACTACACTATACGATAGCATCTACCATTTAACCCACAAAGCCAATATCCATCTTTCTGGTCAGAATAAAATGAGACATGTATATGTGTCTGACTTGTCACACTGGGTCTGCTTCAACATGCCCCCAGTGTTTGAGAAGGGCTAAATCCACAGCGAATACCTCACTGCGGTGACAGTGAGTGCTCTAGCACACACACTTTTGATTGACACATCATTTTGAGCTAGAGGTAGACTGTGGACAGGACGCTAGATTGCCCTGGGTATTTTTGGGTTTTGGAAGGCATCACAAAAACATTCTATAGACTTGCAGAGTTTAACTTGTATGTCTAAGAAAAGATATGTCAGATTTTGTGGTGTGGTAATACTAATAGTGATAATTGATTAGGTTCATAGGGGTTTGGGCAAGTGCAGTGCCAAACTGGAGAAGGTCACACTGTGACTCATTACTTTTAATGTTAATGCAGTCGTTTTTGCAAACACTGACACGGGCCAACTACTTTTCCCACCCCTATCAGTCAACCTCTTTCTCTCTCTGAGTGTGACACATGCTTTTAACCAATCACAGTAAAGTATGAACTCACAGCAGAGGTAAATAGCTTTAGTTTATTTTAGAGACAATTGAGAGCTATGAATTAAGGACAAGAAAAAGCATACCATATTGAGGATAATCAACTCATGGCAGTCACTGTTTTCCTAGCTTTTGAACAGGGCAAGTATGTGTGGTGTTTTGTGCATGTGTGTTGCAGTACTCACAGCTGGCACTGGTCTCCTTTGATCCCTTTGGTGGTACAGAAGCACTTGCCAGTTAACACCTGGCACACATTTGCATGGCCATTGCACTTGCACGCTGCAACAGAAAGACAAATGGAAAAGGAGGTTTTGAATAAAAGGATACAGATTAGAAGAATAGGAGAAGAGTCTAAATTAATTTTGCTTTGATTTTAGCCTTTGATTCATGTATATCCAAACTCCAGGAATGCCTCCTAGGACACATTAAAGTGGGACTAAACACTAAATCAATGTTTTTGCAATGTGTATACAGTGCATATGGTGTGATAATACTATTGTCTATTTTGTCTCACTGTGTTTAAAAAAAAAAAAAAAGTAAAAATATTTTGTGGTGCCTCCAGTCGCCATTGCAATTTCAAGTACTATGTGACATCACATTGTACTGCCCTAACTAAAGGCATGTGTTTCTGATTGCAAACACCTGGCTTCATGAGTGGGAGTTTGAATTGAACTGAAATCACACTGTTGGTTATACCTGAGATCCTACCCCTCCTACCGCCTCACTTAACCCTTTAGTCCTCCAGGCTCTGCTCAGTTTACCATCTCCAAATGAAATGTGGTTGTGGATGGCGTTTTGGTTACTTGTCACTTTAAAGACTACACTTCTAAATATCTCAGGCTTAGTTTAAGCTCAGGGAGAGCCATTTTCATGTGCTTGCAGTCATAATGTTATGCTAAGGTTGTCAACACCTCCAACACTACTCAGAACATGGTGATGAAATTGATATTGATCTTTGTAGGACGGTAAACAAGTGTATTTCCCAAAAGACTACTTCAACTTAAAACTATCTGATACATGAAGGAACAAAATATGCCACTATAGATAGAAAACTACGATACCTAAAAGGCATGTGCACTGAATTTAAACAGTACTGCAACGGCCTGAGGACAAGGAGAGAATTAGCTTCAGGAAAGCTGGGGCACCCTTTTAGGCAGCAGAACAAAAACTGACCCGTTCCTTTCAGTTCAGCGAGTTTTAAATACTGAAGAGGTGTGTTACAACGGGGTCACTGGGCACCATTTCCCTCAAGTGCTAGACCGCTCCCTTAAGCACATTATCCAAGATATTTTTTATGAATATTTCAAGCAACACTGGCTTTTAGCTGGTATTCCTGTTACTCTCTGACCCAGACTTTTTTGCAATATGAGATACACATATTTAATGACTTTTAAAGGAACTGTACCTGATTTTTTTTACATGTATTTGAGCAAAACAAATCTTGCCCCAGTACCAATATATTGTATAAGCAGCTCTTGAGGTCAAAATATCTGTGTGCTGTCTACATCTAAATGTAAAGCATTTTCTTGTCTGAGAATCAGGTAGTGCACACTTAGCATGCTAGTTGTTATCACTACCGTGACAGCAAAACTCACTCTGCCCTCTGAAAGTTGTGAAAAGCACATAAATAAACTAATAGCTTACAAGGATAATAGTGCTAATAAATATTTACCCACGGCTAAAATAAAGTTACACTCATGGGAGCTCACCTGTGTAGTTTCAGTTTACACTTTAGAGCGAAGGACTTTGCATTAGAAGGCTACCTGAGCTGCTCCTAGGTAAGAGTTTTGTGTGCGTGTGTGTTTGTGTGTGTGTCTGTGTATGTGTGTGTGCGTATGCACGTGTCCACTGTGGGCTACTTCATACAGTAACATGTAAGTATTCAGGAATGCTATTCATGCCTCCAAAGATGAGAGCCCCCATGGGTTAATCTGCTCTTGACAAGAAACCCTCGACCGATCTCAAATTAATTCAATAAAGAGACATGCTGAGACCTTTATCAGATGAACATGCAAACCTGTAATATTTGATTCAATTACCTACTGTGGACCATGCTTATACGGTCTGTGCATTAAATTCAGCTCACATACTATATTCTCCCTTCTACAAAAACAGAATGATGTATGAATAATGGCTTGCTGTCACTCAAGTAAATTTATGCAGAAGGCGGGCAGTAGGTGGGAGACACATAATAAATCAGCTTCACATGTGATTCAATACCACTTAAATCATTATATACTTCAAAACAGTATTATGATATCTGTAGGAATAATTACTGCTATTATAACCATCAAATTGTATTTTTTTAACAATGCAGAGATTCTTTTTCAACAAAACAATTTGACCTTCAGCATCACTTTCTTCCTGAATGTTTTCTACTTTAACTGCAAGAAAGTTAAGAACATGATATTTTACTGTCTTTGCAAGTAAATTTACATTTTGTTGTTAAACTCCTGTTTTGCCTTTACTTTTTATTATACTAACATATGGAGCAATGGTGTCATCTTTCAAACATGTCACTCACAATGACATAATTCAAACCCATACACAATAGTGCCATCTGTTGGTGCTGGTGGTATAACGCTACATGTTTTATCATAAAACAACAGTAAACGGCTTGCTGCAGCAGAATTATGACAATGTGTGACGCTGAGCAATGACAATCCAAAGTTAAGACTTGAGTCTGTTAAGCATGATAACGAAATAAATTCACCTTGGCACTTGCCGCCGTTGGTGGGGTCTCCATGGAAACCGGGCATGCAGGTCTGGCAGTGGGGGCCTGTGGTGAGGTTCCGGCACTGCTCGCACACGCTCCCATTCACACAGGTGCTGTGGCCATTACACTGGCAGGCTGAGGAGAGGACAAAAGCTTCATGTCAATAGGTGTAAGAAGACCCATACTTTATATCAAATAGATAAATAGAATATAATGTTAATTAAATTATTTAGAATTAAAAAGTTATATCTTTATTATTATGCATACTTTTTTGTGAATACTTTTGAGAACACTATATAATAAAAATATTTTGTGCATTTGTAAGAGTGTCTTAGGAAAAAATAGCACAAATTTTTTTCCCCCATAAACTTGTATGGAACTCTATAGTGCTATACTGTTTAATTTTCTAAATGTAACAACATTTTGTGCATCCAATTCACAAAACAACCCATGTATTTTATGTATAAATCAACATAATACCTACAATACTAAAAAGATCACTGACAATATGTTTAGCCTATTTCCCTTTGTAGATGTTTCTTTGGGAAATACCATATCGCCTAATCAATACAGGAGCACAGGTCATGACACCCTGACAAAATCACATCCTAGAATCTGAAAACATCCCACACAAAACAATACGCTTTTACCCAGTATAACAATAACCCACAGAGCCCTCTTCACATTCTCACTTTACAGCTGGAGTGGGCGGGTTATCAGTTTACATGACGCCGCAGCTCTGAGCATTAAATGGCATAGTAGCATAAGATTGCATCAAGTCTATGGGGACGTATTAGTTGCATAGGCCAGCTGTAACACAACTCCACTATAAGGACATCTTTGTAAAGTATAGACAGTATTAAGTATAGACATATCTGTGTTTGTATTGCTGGCCATTGTTAGGGTCAAACTATTCTGGCTAAACATCTAATTGAGATTTTTCTGACAAGCATTTTTAGATTTTTTTTTTTTTTGCATTTGTGATTTGTTTTACAATTGGATTCTGTTTACATTTTAAACGTGTCCAGAAAAACTGATAAAATTGATAATGAAATATGAACTGACAAACTCATACAAGAATCATATTTCAGAACATGTTTATATACTAAACTACAAGGTAATCCATTTTTATGCAGAAAAAGAAATGGAAATGTTGTTTGTGGAGGAAACTAAAACTGCAGCCTTTGCGAATTGCTAACTGCATCCCTTCAAATTGCGATTAAGATTCAACTAAGATTAATCTTGCAGCCCTAGTTGGCAATATTTATTTCTGAGACAAGATATTTTGTTGTTTGCACAGGAAAATGCATCTTAAATAACTATAACAGGTTTTGCAATTTGTTACTTGTGTTAATTTAAATTGTCAATTTCGATTCGATTTCAATATATCTTGCAGCTTTACTCACCGGGACAGTGGATGAATGCCCACTCAAAGCCCTTGTCTTTAGGACAGATGCCGGGCTCCAGGATCATGTCAGTGGTCTGTCCCTGCTGGCCCTGCTTGGATGGCTTCTTCATAGGACCCCTATAGGAGCCCTCCATACAAAGGCCTTTCCCCGTGCTGCTGGGGTCCCCACACCAGCCACACTCTGGCTGCTCCAAGCACTGGGAGCACGTGCGGAAGCCAGAACAGTTTTGGGCTGTAAAAGAGAATAAAATACCATTAGTGTTAAGATTATACTGGGAGAGTGAATTAAGATTGTACAAGAGTTTACACTATGAACAAAAAACAAAAAACTTTCATCATCAATGCTCAGTAGATTACAAAATCTATGGTATGTGACCAACTTCATTAAATCCCAGTTTCATTTAAAAAGGCAATTATTTCCCTGGATATTGTAGTTTGTAATTAGTTTCTTTCCACCCTTGCTAAAGAGAAACAAATACTCACACTACTGTAAATGAGTAGTTTTGTTTGAGAAATTGCACTTTTTTGAGTAATTATTAAACATACAGACTGATCTTAGAGTACTTTGACTAGTATTTCCATACCTACATGTATACTTTTTGCACATTTGACTACATGTAGTACATGTATTTATAACTGCGTAAATTATATTTCCATAAAATGGTACTTCAATATACATTTTCAGTACTCTTCTCCATACCACCCTTCAGGATGAGATGAGCTACATTTCTCTTTTTTTTTTTTTTTTTTTTTTTTTTTTTACAATTTCATGAAAGAATCAGCTTAATAAACAAAGCAAAGAGCATGGGGGAAAGTATGTGTAAAAAATATGCATGAAAAAGCACACAATTAAAAGCTCTTCTATACAGAGATTAGATTATCAGGCTAAAATGAGACGTATGAAGTACAACTCAATGGAATAATCCTATTTTGCCAGCTTGGGGGACAACTTGTGGGCCAGTAAAGTGCTTGACAAGTTGGAGCATGGCCACTTTGCTGCCAGACAGACACTCGGAGGGTGAAAATGCCACTACTATTTTACTGAAAAAAACATTGAGTGCTTTTACCTCGGTTTTATGTCAAACAAATCTCTGGCTATTCCGCTAATGGATGTGAAACCATGACAACGCCTCAGCAATCACCAAGAAAGTAAGACCACTTAAGTTTGTTTTGACAATAAGACGCAAGTGGCACATTTCACAAGAAAAGGCTCGACTGTTTTAACCCTTTTTGTTTCTGGGAGACAGCTAAACAACAAAATTCTTACAATTTTTCACACATTTGGTACCTGTAAATATTCAGATTTTTAGCTATTACCTGAAGTAATTATACACTGTGTTAGGATCATAAAAATATCTTCATAGAGTTTTTCCTTGAGCAATGCAGACAGAACTTACTTATTTATGGGTGCTTTCAAGTGCATTTTAATTATAAATGAACCTCTTTTTCAAGCCGAAATGGCATGACTTTATGACTCTAGGGTCAGATGTAGCGAATTACATGATACAATGAAAGCACATATGTTTTGCCCCTCTGGTCTCCCGTGGTTACACTATAAAAGTTGTTTGACTGATTTAACATTGTTCTGTCTAGACTCCACTGAGGCCACAGGAGTATTGATTAAAATGACAGTTTTCCACATGAAGATTTACAGCATGGGCTACGTATATGATATTAAACGGGAATAACATCAGCCAACATGCATTCTGTTAAGGCATTTACTGAAAGAAAAAGTACGGCATTCAACGTTCCCAGAAACAAGAATATCATTTACACAAAGTTGACTCTTGTGGGCTTTAAACCATGTTAGAATGCTGTTCCTTCCTCACAAACATAGCAGTTTGTTTCATTCAGACATGTTTGAGTAACCCTTTATTTTTAGTCAGTCTATATCTCCAAAGCTCAATATGCTCTGCTCCACCTTGTGATGTCATGAAGCAGTAGTTTTCAAGTTAACAACTACTTTTTACATTTAGTTGAATAGAGATTGGCAATTCCAGGGCTGAAATTATCCAAATGATTCTAGTGAAGGTGTATGGAGTTTAAAAACACAGTGAGGAACTTCTGGATTACCACAGGACATCACAAGGTGGAACAGAGTGTTTCCTGTTTCAAAGAAGAACTCTAAATACAGTATGCAAGGTTTGTGTTTCATACATGTGGGAATGAAGCAATGAGGAAACATTTAAAACATAAATCAGAAAATAGCCTAAATTAGACCCTTGAAGCATGCAATTCTTTATTTGAAACCTAGATATACTCTATCTCTATATAGTTTTTATTGGCATTCAAATATGTCCCCTCTTAAATGTAAAAAGGTTTGCATTTACAACATGAGCTTGTTACACTTTTAAGTACATTGTAAATCACTGTGTAACAAATCAGTGTTAAGACATAATAACATTCTAATACTTATTACATGTATCTACATAGTGCAAAAAATTATAATTAACAAGTTACATAAAACTGATACAATAGTATCAAATGTATTTACACAATTAAGGTAACAAAATTGTAAGGAAGGGCTGTTCAGAACCATTTAATTAGAAGACAAGCTTCACACTCTTGCTAAACTATAATTTATAAATGTTGATGATAAGCTGATGAGCCCATGTGAGAACTAAAACATAAAATATAAAAATTCTAATAATGTAACTTTAAAAGGATTCCATAAAAATGATAGAATATGTTCTTGACCTCGGGCTATTGAAATTCAGTCTAAATTAAACATAACTTCACTGGTTTCAAAGGACCATGATGAAACAGATAGACAGTGCTCCCAGCATTTTTTACCAAGACTTGGTGTGATCTAGGACTACACTCAAAAAAAAAAAAAAAAGAAAATACCTGAAAATTAGCATATTTTAAGTACTTTAACAGTTCTGTAATAATCTACCACTGAAATTACATATATTAGGAAGACTGGCTTTGTTAGTGTTGCCATGAGTGGTGTTACTAGACTGCTGTGACTATGGTTCTCAGAGCATTACTATAATGTACTTAGCCTAAAGCAATAGTGAGAGGGTGGAGAGAAGTGGTGTTGGTGAAATCATTCAAGCCAAAAGTGGAGGCTGAACTTCTGAAGGTGACTGAGAAGGTAAAGACTCAAACTGAATAAATGTGAAGACTGGGGAAATATAAAGTGGTGATAGGATTTATAGGATAACCTTGTCTGTCCTCTGTTGCCAAAAGGGACAAATTTCTCAAGACAAATGTCCTCCAAGCTCTGAAATGTCTGAGAAACCCAACACCGGGCGACACAAATGAATTTGAGAGAGTTCCCATCGGGCCCTGAAACTGTTACTCACTGAAGGGATGTGAGATGTCTTTAGGTCCTGACTCAACTATGGCAATAATTCATGTATCACATAATTCAATGTCTTGTAAATGAGTTAAGAGATGTGGGATCAGCTTACCACTACACAATGTAAACTGTTTTGACACTACTGCAAATAAAACCTATTTGAGAAGTGACATCATAAGGATAACAATAAGAATATAAATGTTTTTAAAAAGTGTCCTATGCCCTGTTATGGTATGGTACCATAACACAAAACTGTAAATCCATTAAAAGGCTTTCTTAAATGTGTAATGTGAGTTTGGTTTCAATAAGTATGCTTTCCTCACTTTCTCTTAAGTCAGCATAATTGGATTTTAGAAAAGCTAAAAGGGAAAAACACATTTACTGCGTGTATACAGGTTTTCCCAAAACACCATCTTCTGATTTACAGAAAGTACAGGAGTACTGTTCCTTGATCTTCTGCTCAAAGCAGGTAATGGTAAAGAATCCATTTGCGTCTGGGTCAACAGGGAAATCAACAACTGAAGTGTATATGTGAGGCTAATTGGCCATTACGAACCCAAAACAGCTTCCAAAGCAAATCGCTGAAAACTAATACCCTTTTCCCTTGGACACAAAAACCTTCACTTAAAAGCTTTTTTCACTCCTTAAACCCTATCTCTTAGTGATGAATTATCGAGCGCTTTACAGAGGCCAATCTGGGCAGAGCTTAATGCTGATCACCTAAATGCCACACTTCAAAGCAGCCCCTTTTAGAGCAGCTTCTGTCAAAGACACTCACCCACACAATCTCCTGTCTGCCACTCCAGACACTGGCCGTACGGGAAGGAGATGACGTAGGCCGTGGAGTCCACGCAGCGTTGCGTACTGCTGCACCACATGCACTCCATGGCCTGGTTGGTGCAGTTGGCACAGTTGGTATGGAGCGAGCAGGGCTTTTTACATGAAGGACGGGAGCTCTGATTGGGGTTACCTGGGAACAAAGCAGTAAGTAATGTTCAAAGACAAAAGGCAAATCAGCATGTTCACATATATTACCTTATATATGTCATTTTGTAATAGAAAGGTACATGATGGGCAAAGGAAACTTTTGTGTGTGTCTGTGTGTCAAGATTGCTACTCTGATGTTAAATTTCATCTTAAGGCATTCACTAATGTACAGTACATAGATATATACTGGCACATATAGAGATATAGATATAGATATAGTAAAAAAGCTGGTTTCTGTTTTTAATGTTTTTCAGAGTGTATGTGCAATTTTTTACATTGGTCCTACTACCCTATTGTCCCTGGCCTCCATCTTTCCAATAAACTACATGAATAATTAACACCGCAATAGTGAAAACAGCCCTATACAGTTTACTGTATATTTCCCTGCGTGACTTACCCGCTGCCTTTTCACAGATCAGCCCATGTGCAGTGGCGGTGCATGGATTCGCCCTCAGTCCCGATACCTGAGGCTCTTCTAAATAGGCACAGAATCCAGAGTCACTTGGTTCCCCAGGCAACCAACGCAGACTAGTGTTGGTGAAGGGAGACATGTCCTCCCAGCCCCAATATGAGACATTGATTTTCCTTAGGCCAACCCATGGAGACAGTCGCTGTGGGGACATAGAAAAACATGTTTGAACAAATATTGTAAATAACGCCTCCCTTCTGCAACAGTTTGTTGCTGTAGAGTACCTCTTCCACTGGTACTTTAGATCCAAGAATGCCATTAAAAGTTCACTGGAAATAATTTCACAGATATGATTACTTTTCCCCCTCCGGCATTCAGCTTTTAATGTAATGGAAGAAATGACGGAAATGGTATGTCAAGGTTCACTTTAGAACAAACCGCAGAGAAACAACAAATAAAAATGTCAAACAAAAAGCATGACAAAACAGGAATTACTTGTTTATGTATAAATATTATGGCTACTAAAATGCAACACTCAGTCACCTAATAAGGCAATAAAATGACGTAAAGAAGAGGGAAGTTATGTTATGATTGGAATGTATGTCTCTGCTTTCCACTACAACAAATCTTCTAAAGCAAAAATCACGGAGGACACCCTAGCCTGTTTGTCAATATTTAGAGTGCAATATTGTAGAAAAAAATCACAATGAACAATGGAATTATCACTATTTCATCCCAACGATTAGAGCAGGGATGGTATGAAACTTCCCCGGTATAACTGTGACCAGAATCACCAACCACTGCATAACAGTATTCCATGGAGTTGCATGGTTTACAATGCTTAACAAAACAAGTGCTTGTATATGAAATATAGCCGATTGCTAATGTAATTATCAAGACAAAACATTAATCCTAGAGTCACGTGGGTAACATACTAGGACTGAAAGAGACTTCAGACTATTCTCTACTAGTTTATTTATGCCATAATATATATAAAATTACCAAAACAAATCTATTCATAAATCAAAACTTTTTCCACTGACCCAATGAAATAAATGAGCTCTGACAATATTGCCAAGAGGCCCAATCTCATAGTTTTAGTGCTGTATTGTTTTAATACAGCAGCATACATTTATACCAGTCATTGTCCCACCTCTACCAACTGTACAATAATCAAAGAGCATAAAAATATCAATAAACAGCTTTTTAAATGAATCATATTTCTTAAAAAAGATGTATTTAATGAATGGTAGAAAACCATTTAGCTGTATTACTTATAGTAGTATATTATTTATTAACCTTAGAAATTACTTATTCAACATATAATTGAAATGTTACATACAAAAAAAAAAAAAAAAATCCACAATAAATATTGAACCCCAAAACCACACAACAACCGACTCCACAAAAAGTGATAAAATATGAAAAATCTCATTCCAGTGTAGGCTGCCACCTCATAAATAAAACTATGCAATTGTGACAGTTGTGTAGTCAAAGCCTGTGATGCCAGTGGTGATGGAAAACAAAGTTGATGAAAATGGTTGGAGAGAAGAGGAGATTCATCCCGTCTAAAAATAAGGGCTGCAATCAGAGCGATAGAATGGTACACAGAAAGACACAAAAGCTTGATCAGCAGCGGGGAAAAAAATCATCTCCCAACATAGACCTCATCAGAAATATTGACAGGCTACAACTACGACATAACCACACCCTATTCCCCTTTCCTCAGGCATCAAATGGCAGAGTGCACATCCGACCTCAGGCTTTCCAGAGATATCGCAAAATATTTTCACCGGGGTGTGTACTGCCAGATTGCTACAACACATGAATAAAACAAAATACCAGGCCCCACTACTGTTTTGTCAGATGTGTTACTTATTTATATTCACCTTCTCTTGCTGCTGGAGTTTCTTGAGCTCTTCCAGCACAAAGTCCACTTGCTTGGAGGTGGTGAGAGAAGCGATGTTGCCGTTGAGGTTTTTGCAGTAGTGCTGAGCGTTGTCATAACTTTCTCGGCTTGAATTGATCCTCAGGCAGGCCTCCCCCACCTGGTTCCAGCCCTCACTGCACTGCTGGGCTGAAAAAGAGAAGAAACAGCATGATGACATAATGATGAAAGCGTGTCAAATGTGAGGGTAATCTTCTTGATCTGTTCCTGTCAAAAGTGCAACAGAAAGTTGTGTGTGACTTTTTAAGACATAGAAACTTAAGGATAACAAAGTCTGGTAGGCATAATTAAAGCCTGAGTTGTCAAAAAGTCTACATTCAGCTTAGTATCAAAAGCTGGTCATTTTTATCTTACTTTATGATAACAAAATGGGTGCTGTCTAACTTTGTAGCAAGGCCATTTGAGGCGTCAAGAATACAAAACACAAAAATATTATTTGCGGTTCACACCACTGCAACAAGCCCTCAGGCGTCACCAACAAAGAATTATGGATCAAGTGACAAAGCCATTTCAGTTTTTTCCACATTCACAGAACGTCAACATTTAGGGAGAGGGGAGGGGGACTGTGTCTACTCAATACTCAGTGAAGCTTAATAAATTATATCAGAATGACACCTATGAATTACAGTGTTTAAAATCGGACCTGGGTATAAAAGAATATACTGCTTGGTAAATTGTTCTCACTGTGTTGAGATTAAGTGCATACGCTTATTCAGGTTGGTCAAAGAAGAGCGATGCCGACGGCTAAAAATCAATGATAATCTTTTTAAATATGCGCCTCAGGTTTGAATGTCAGCAAAGTCATTTTATTTTCATTACAGTGAGGGCCACAACAAATCTTAGCCTGCACTATATCTTACACAAGCTGTTATCTTTGACATTTGTTTGCAACTTTGGCATTAGGAAAGCTACAAAACGCATAACAACCATGACATTGTATCTGGCGCTGACATGTTATCAAATGTATTACCTGGAACTGGCCTGAAAAAAATGCTAATGCCGAGATAGTGGCTCAGTCCAATTTTTTGCTTTGTCTGTAATTATGGAAATGCGATTTTTATTCCAGTGTCCTTCTCACCTGGCATAGCGTGGCATTCGGACTGATTTTGGTCCCACTGACAGTTGAGATTAAGGGAACAGCTCTTGCAGTTGGCCAGTTTACTGCAAACCTGTTCGTTACGCACTGGACACTGGGTGAAGTTCTTTACACTCTGGAAATAACAAAAAAGTAGCATTTTAGTTACTATGAAAATCAAAAGAAATAACATGCAATGAGACGTGTAAACTAGATTTTCATTTTTTTTCCAAGTTAATCCATAGTGCAATAGTGTCCTCTGGTGGCAGACTTACAGAAGTGCAGTTGCTGGAGGCAGAGATGCATTTTTTGTCATCACACCACTGGCAGCCGTTGGTATTAGCAGTACAGCTCGCACAGTCAGAGAACCGGTAGCATCTCTCATCCACCGTTACTGCAGGAAAAAAAGGAAAACATTGCCACCAAGTGTTAAGTACATTTCATAGTGTAAAATAAACAAAAATACAGTGTACCACAAATTAATCTATTACCACTATTAATCTATACTGCATTTTTTTCAAGGAATTTTTGAGATATCAAACATGAGTAATTGCATAAACGCTAGATAGATTTTTAATGCTATACTATAAAACATTTCAGGCAAAGCAATAATATCTCAACGGAGACAAGCATGTTGACTGGAAAAGTTACATAGTGCACTTTTAACTTGAATGGTGTGATTGCTACAAAACGTGGCTCCACAAAATGTAAGTCATAATTAGATGCCATATAATTACTGGCCATAGAAAATAAATAAATATGAGGATCAGCTAAATGCTAACTGATGTCTGCAGTGTAATTGGTGGGTTTCAGTTTCTAGAATATAATGTCGTCATACTCCCAGATTGGGGGCAAGAGACAGTGTTTTTCTATTAATTACATTGTACTTTGCCATGAAATATTGGAAAGCTAAACTCCCAAATATGGAACCTGATCATTTCTATTACTGACTAGACACAAGAGCATGCTATATTACAACAAAAATGTGCAGTTAATTTTAGCTCCCCCCATCTGTATTAAATAATATTGGCCTATAGAAGGCTGTGATGTCATCTGACACTCAGCAATAGACTTTAAGAATGATACCAGGTTTGGGTGGGCAGAAAGGAGCTGGTGTAAGGCTGCCGTTGGACATGCTTGGTCTCCAGGGGAAACAGTGGCCCTTGCTCCAGAGGCAGCGGACCCCAGGACCCGCCCTCACACAGCTCTGCTCTGAGGAGAAAGCCTGACAGCTGGGAGGCCTGTACACCAACACGTCATTCAGCAGAACACTGGAGAAGCCCCCAAACACATACATGGACCTGAACAAAACAGACACAAAAGTTATTCTGGTACAGTAGTTTAATACGTCCAGGCAGGCATCATGATGAAACTGCTTTGACCTAGTTTGAGTGACCTTTCCGATATCAGTCACTCACCCGTTGCTGACCACTGCAGAATGGCCAAAACGATTAACATCTCTGTGTAAGTCTGGCTTTGGCAGAAGCTTCCACTCATCACAAGCTGAAAAATCAAGGACATGTACATTAGATTCTCACTAAAAGAAAGATTTTAGAATTTATTTTTTGTAAATTTGTTGATTGTTAAGTCATAAAAAATGTCTAAATTAAGTCAAATAAAAATTAAATGTTCACTATATAAATTTTCTGGTGGGGGTCACATTCTTATCCTGTTGGCTCATATATCGTTCTGATATTTGCACTTTTAAGCATAGTTATTATATCAGTTATTGGCCTTAAATCGCCACTAAAAGATGTTTTGGGTCAACCAGCTGCCTAAGAACATGCATAAAACAGTTTAGTGCAATGAGATCTTGGCACAAAATGTGACTATTAAGCGCTCTCATCCAGTTTGTTGTAAAAAACAAAAAAAAAGTGCTGTTGTTTAGTTGTAGTCAATTTAAACACCATTTGGGAAAATAATCTAAATTGTCCCTACATACTGGCCTAAAAGTATCGACAGAGTTTATCGGCCATTGTTTCTCCAAGTTCTAAATAATCCATTAAAAAATCCATAAAGGCTGATTTGTAATAGAAAAGTTATGCACTGTAGCTTTAAACACTTTAAATACTTTTTTCTATTTAAGATTAAAACCATGAAATACGATGTGTGTTCAAGTGTTACCAATGTCATAGGCAAGGAAGTCAGCAGAGAAGCATTTGGCCCCGTTGCTAAGCGATGTGTCATTATGCGTGTTGCCCCCAAAGACGAGCAGGGTGCCACTGAGGAGCACGGCTGAATGCAGGTACCGCGGGAAGCCACTCTCCTTCAAGATGAACCTGAACACGTGTACAGAGAAGAGACGTGATGAGACATGCACACACCGTCACTGTGCTGCCCTCAATACATAATGAAGGAGGCATCAATCGCACTATGCCTAGTCCTAAAACAGGTTTGAAGAGGGCCATACCAGTTTTGGAGCTACTTTACAGTAACTAGACCTAATTAGCCTTAATAAAGCATGAACAAATACTTAATTCTTAATGGAAAAAATAGTTCATTAATAATGATTCAGGCTTCTTAACTTACTTAAGGGGTTAGGGTGTTGATAGTTGCTAAGCCTGAGTCAATCTTAAAGGCCCTGTATTATGCAAAACCCTGACTCTTGTAAGCTTTAAGCCATGTTTGCGTAACACTGTATTATTAGTCTGTCTGTATCTCCAAAGCTAAAAATGCTCTGTTCCACCTTTTAATGTCATGTAGTGGTAGTTTTCAAGTTAACAGCTCCTTTTACCTTTTGTTCAGTAGATATTGGCAAACAGAGCTGAAATCCTCCAAATTATTCTAGTGAAGTGTAGGTGTATGGTGTTTAAAATCACAGTGAAGCACTTCCTGTATTACCACACAACATCACAAGGTGGAACAGAATGTTTTCCGTTTGTGAGAGGAACTAAATAAGCAGGGTTTGTGTGTTAAACGTGTGTGAATGTAACAAAACAAGGAATGTTTGTGATGAGGAAACAACATTATAACAGAGATCAGAAAATAAAGTGATATAAGCTCTTTAATAAACTTTCTAAACTAATTTCTTCATTATGAATTAAGTTTTGTTCATGCTTTATTACAGCAAATAGAAGTATAGCTGTTGCAAGTGTTAGTTATGATTTCAATTTTAACTACAGAACTACATAGGAAATGTACAGACACCCTTTTCTATTAATAATTTTATTCTTGACCCATTACCAACCTCTATAAAGAATTTGCAGTACACAAGATTTGAGCACTTACCATGTCCTTGTGTTGACGTCGTAGCGGTAGAGGTCATCCACAAGGCCGTATTTGTTGGCAGGTAGAGCTTTGTATCCTCCGTGGACGTACACACTGCGGCTGGTGCTGTCCAGAGTGCTGCTATGTCCATAACCTCCCTGTGGAATGGCACCTTTGGTCTCTGGTACCACCCACGTGTTGGATTCTGGCAGTAAAATTACATTGCATTAACAGGAGTGCGTGATATGAGAAAAACATGAAATTGGGGCTAATAACTGAATAAATAACATAGCAGGATGTAATAATGCGTTTTGTTTTTTTTTCAATATCAACACTATGCTAATGTAATGTAAGGCAACTGACAGATTGGCAGCCATGTTTAAAGGTCCTATATTACGCAAAATTTATTCTTGTGAGCTTTAAGCCATGTTATAATGTTATTGCTTCATCAAAAACATACCCTGAGTTCTGTTTTGTTTCATTCACACATGTCCAAGTAATCCTGCATTATTAGACTATCTACATCTCCAAAGCTCAAAATGCTCTTGTGATGTCAAGAAGCAGTAGTTTTCAAGTTAACATTTAACTTTTTAGTTCAGTAGAGATTGGCAATTCCAGGGCTGAAACAATTCAAATTTTTCTAGCAAGGGTGTAAGGAATTTAAAAATACAGTTTAGCCCTTCCTGTATTATTACACGACATTACAAGGTAGAACAGAGTGTTTTCCGTTTGAGAGAAGAACACAGCCTAAATATGCAGGGTTTGAGCGTTAAACATGTGTGAATGAGGAAACAACATTATAACACAGATTAAAATATAGCGTAATATATGCCAATCAATCAACATAATACAAATATTTTAAAAAATTGAGTATCTAGAAATGTGCTTCATAAAACTGATTTCAATTATAGAAAATACAAATTTGCAATATATTTCCTAGAAACTTTCCTATAATACAAGTAGGCCTGAAACTTGCATTTTTATGAAAACTGGGACATGAGAAAACAACCAACAAAAAGAGGACTTGACTATTTTCAGCCTCCTCGTCCCCATTCTTTAGATCTCTGTCTATGACCCTCACAGAGCGCAATATCTCGAACACCTCCTCAATTGTTAAATTACAGAGAACGTTGAGAAGAGGTCATAGAGGCTCTGAAGTGTCCTTTGCCGGCATTTGGCAGACATGGCATATAAAGCAAAGACCATATCATTTAGATGTACTGAGAATATGGGTAGGGAATGCCCCAGTGTGATCTTTATAAAGGCAATACTGACAGTGACAACTCTAAAGAAAGTAATTGTTTTTTACAGTGGCATCTTTGGTTAACTGAAATGGGTTTGTAAATCTGGATTTAATCAGGACATAAGCAAGTTTGTTTTAAGCATAAGAATAGGACTAAAATGTCTGACTAGATCTTAGAGATTAATTAAAGATTAATTACACTTAATAACAAGCCTTGCACAGTTAATACAATATAAAACACACCTTACATAAAAACTGAAGCTAAAACAGAAGACTGAACAAGGTCAGTGCTTGAAATTATGTGCTCTATTTATGCTAGCTTTATCCACACCTAACAAAAATGTTCAAAAGTAAAAAATTTTATTCCATTAGCATGAAATTGCAAAAAACTTGGCAGCAAAGGAAGAAGCAAAATACGGTCCTATAACCATAATTTGAGAACATTTTTCACAAAAATACACACAATTTGCAACTATGAAGTAAGCGTGAAGTAATGTAAAGATTCCAGAGGGCATGAACTCACTCAGATGGTACTCCTGGACGTTGCTGATGTAGCTATAAACGGGGGAGTAGCCGAAGATGACCAGCATGACGAGCTCGCCCCCCTCCAACAGGATGCAGTGTGCAGAGTGCCCTTCCACAGCGTACATCTGACTCTGCCCCGGGACGGCAAGCAGGGGGGTCCTCTTCTGCCACGTCCGACTCACTGTGTTGAACACCCACAGCTCGTCTGTCACGTTCCCAGAGCCCGCCTCCAGCTTGCCCCCGTACATGTAGATCTCGTCCTGGAAAAGAAAAACTGGCTGAATGACACACAGAAGGATAACAAAATTTTATGTGCTGGTATAAAGATGGATATTTGCCAGTACTGATAGGAATCTTTAAAATTTCATACCAAGGGCGACAAATTGATGTTAAGTTATAAAAGGGATATAAAATAATTTGTTGCATGATTGTGTAAACATACAGCCATATTTTTACCCTAATAGCACTTTATATTCCCATTTTTGCACATCAATCGGTTCAAAAAGACAAATCTAATCCCCTAAGGACAAACTCTGAATGAAATATGGGCGCTCACACAGAGACTGGAATAGCTTATAAAAAAATATTAGTGACAGCTATTAGTTACCTTTTCAAAATCAAACTAATAACAAATTTTAATTAAACGAACAAGACAAGCATCATGGAGATTTAATACACACACATAATGAAATATTAAAATCCTTCTAAACACAGTATTTTCTTTTTGTCACATTGAATCTGTATTTTATTTTAACAGCAAACCATGATTAAATACTTCTAACTCTAATTGTGAAAATATATTTTCATTGATGACATTTCCTAAAATTGAAGCACTGATAAATACTTTTTGTTATTCTGCATATTTCTATAGATGATGAACTCAGCAGTCTAGTGGTTCTGTTATAAATTACTGCATTACTGTTACTTTCACATCGTTTTTCCCTACGGGGACAATAAAGTGTTCCTTAACCTTAACCTTTAACCTCATTTTGCTTACATCCGGCAGAGTTTTCGATGGCATCTGCATTTGTATCTGTTTTATAAAGCGCATAACTTCAGAATAGACACTAAAGCATTACCACATTCCTTCAAGCAGGATAGTTTTGTTCTTGACTTTCTTTGCCCTCCCTCCTACACCCACTTGAGGTTATCTAAAGCTAAAATAAGTCCTGGTTATCTTTACCTGGTAGGCAGCGAGTGAGTGGCCGTATCTTGGCAGAGGGCCACTGTTGATGGGCACCGTGTTCCAAACGCCGCTCTCCAGGTTGTAGCTGAAAAGAGGCACAACATTAAACTTTAATCACAGATGCGTTTATTAGCTTCATTCACTTAGAACTGTACACTATAAAGCACGGCTAATGGGTCGTTTAATGTTACACCTGGAGACCAAGTACTCCACAAATGTTCTGTGTAATTACAAAGAAAACACTGCTTAAAATCGCCAGCTCTAATGGTAAACAAGATTAGCTTAGTCTACTGTAAAATTGTTCAGTCAAAAGGTTATACAAATGCAATATATAGTTGTTTTTATTACTTTCACTTTTGGTTTTGTTAGAAAATTCACATCTAAAAAGAAAAACAAGTCTGCAGCCAAGGTTCAAAAGGTAACCATTTCCATTTTCTAACTTGAAATAGCTTGCGCCTACAAATACTCCTACACTTGTGCCTTTTACGTCAGTATTATCCATGCACAAAAATTTTATGTAAACCTAACGGTACATAAAGGTTGAGAAGGTCAGTTTTAAAAAGACGTACTTTAGAATCATCTGAAAGGAGCTGTAGTTGAAGGTGTATCCACCCACGACCCACATGACCTTCTCCTGGACCACGGCCTTATGGGAGGCTCGGGCCAGAGATGTGCCGAAGGGTTTGACACTGGGGAGGATCCAGAAGGACTCTGTGGACGGGACGGTCAGGGAGCAGTCTGGGCCTGAGGGATCAACAACAGGGACACAATGAAGAGAAATTCATCCCTGTCATAATGATAGTCTCTCCATGTCTTTCCAGGTAAACCTACTTAATGAATCCTAAGTGTTTGTTTTTTTTCTTAGTAACACCTATTTACCAGTACTAACACTACATACATTGGTGACAAGAGACCTACCAGAGACGCTACTATTTTATGGAGGCTTTTTTTTATGATTCATTTATGATTCATAATGAATATACCATTTTTATAGAAGCAATTTAACAATAACCTTATTTTGCAATAAGTCTTTAATGCAAATTGAGTAGTTATTTAATAGTCATTAAAAAGGTCATTTTTAATTACCTATATCCAATCAAATCATGCCGCCTCCTCCTCCTCCGCAGTATTTAAATATTAAATGAAACCCTAACACTTATAAAAGCTACATGGTTTACAGTCATAATAATAAAGCATAAACAAAGACTTGGCTTATTAAGGTGCAGTTATTATAAAGTGTTACAAGTAAAACTCTACTAAAGTTATGATGTGATTGCTAAAGAACAAGTCGACAAACAAAAAAGCATTGTTGTTTTACTAAATGAACACAAGAGCCCGGGCGGTGTGATCATGTCTGGCTGTGTGAGCAAATGTGTTGTTGAAAAAGCACATGCCTCCTAATGATTCTGTCAAGTTTCATCACACAAAAAGCATTTGGCCCTGTGCAGCTCCAGGCTCCGCACACCGCACTGTTACAGGGCTTATCGACCTGCTCCCAATCAACAAAATGCCACGGCGTGACACAGCTGTTTGTACTTGTCTGTTATCACATTCTTCATTACATAGTACTTTGGAGGAGCCACGGGCCAGGGAGGGGCATTATTGTTTTATGGCCGGTAGATACTGTAATCGGTTACATGAGTGCCAGTTAAAGCTACATTACCAGATTTTCCTCTTCCTATGGTGCCCAGTGTTTCAGAGTCTGTAAACTAGCATTTCCCAATATAACTTTATTGCAAAAACTTCTGAGGTGATTATATAAATGTTATGTCTTGATAAAAGGAAAAACTAGGGCTGCTCAATTATGGCAATTATCACAATCACAATTATTTGACTCATAATTGAAATCAAAGTTATTTCAAACACTTTTACACGATGACAGTTATAGAAATGTATGTAGAGCCAGAATGTAAACACAGCCTGGGTTTACATGCATGCATAAAATCAGATTACGGTCAGATTTAAAAGACAATTAAAATTTCTGATCATGGTCAGTGTGATTACTTATATCAGATAATGCTGTTTGTATGTAATTTAAGCAATTTTAAAGGTCCAGAAATCAGATAATAATCAGATTTTAGTGTGCATGTATCTGCAGCCAGTGTTTTCAAAGTCACTGTGGATTAGGCAAGTAGCTTTGTTGTTCATTGCAACATTTTTTGTAATTGATTAGAGCAATAATTGAAATCATGACTGAAAATGTGATTAAACGCACATCCGTAAAACCTGGAAAAAACATTTGTCAAGAACTTTTTAACCCTCACACTCTCCTCGGGGTCACATAGACCTGAAGAAACTTTTTTTTTCTTCCCGCTCTCTTGGGGCGGGTCAATCAGACCCAAAAATGTATTTTCTTGCCTGGCGAAAAAAAAAATTTAAATACATTTTTGGGTCTGATTGACCCACCCCAAGAGAGCAGGAAGGAAAAAAAATGTTTCTTCAGGTCTATGTGACCCCGAGGAAAGCAAAACTAAACCCTAGAAGCTTTATGCCAAACTTCTCATAACAGAGGCTATATCGGCCATGTTCAAGACACAAATGATAATTGTTGGTTTGAACATAGCAATAAATGACAACTAACAGAAGTTCACCAATATTACAAACAATGGTATAAGCTGATGCTTATGCATTATACACATTTTACAGTAGTTCATATTTCCCAGATACTTAAACCTCAACCATATTCCTATTGGAATAAACAAAATAAACAAAAGATTGCGATAAGGCTGACATTTTAAATCACTTGTTCTCTCACTACACATTATACAATGATACATTATGGCTGTAGACAGACCGTAGTTAATCTGTCATTTGAATGCATCTACAGTGTATACATTGACTAGAGCGGTGCTACCTTGCCAGCTGTCATTGCACACACACAGCTTCTCCCCTGTGAGGTCACAGTAGCCGTGGTCAGGGCTGCCGCAGTTGTTCCTACAGTAGGGGATGTCACAGGCCTCTCCTTTCCAGTACTTGTCACATTCACAGTACACTCGGCTGGCTATGGAGTTCCCCGTGGTGCACTTCCCATGGCCCGAGCAGTTGTTGGGACAAGAATTGATACTGGACAGGAAAAAAATAAAAAAAATCTTATATATTTGTCAACATTTAGAATTTCCTTCACGGTCAATAAAGTTATCTATCCAGGGTTAATGGAGGGTTCAACAAACCAAAACAAAAAATGTAACGCTTTTTAATGCAATTTAATCCCATAATTCAGTATCTTTAATGCCATTAATGGATGCAGAAAGAAAGACACTCAAAGGTACATTGTGCAACTTTTCTGGTGGAGGGTCCATCAAATGCTTTTCTCCATGGAAATGTTATTGTGTTGTCTGGAATGTTTGACAGCATGGCATTAAGCCCTTCTATCTTCATGGAGACCAAACCAATTTACAGGTCAGATCTGTGGAGAGTCAACACTGCTCATAGTCAGAATTCCTGTTTTTCTAGGTATTTCTCGGCTGTTTATTGTCATACTGTGGAAATTCCAGGCAGAACAATGGCATCTCCATAGAAACAAGCAGGTGAAGGACCCTCCACCAGAAAACTTGCACAGTGCAACTTTAAGCTTTCATCTTGTCAAAGTGACCGTTTTGTAACCACTCAGCAGAATGACAAGAATCTATAAATAGTTATTATAACGTAAAACATTTAAAATGCTAATTTATTATTTAATATTATTATATATTATTTAATATAATTGGGCGTTTTAATTTTATCTATCCATTATGTTATGTGTATGTTCTTCATAAACAGGAACCTATATTAGTCTATCAAAGAGAATAAGATATAAAAAAGATCTAGACTATACAGGCTGGGACCAGATAAAAATAATTGTAAGAAATTACACTATTTGCAATGTGTGCCTAATTCCACTAGTCGTGTTGTGTTTAGTTTAGTATTTAGCATTTCAAGTATTCATTTAGCATTATCTGTTAGTTTAACATTGGACTATGTAATGCAATGAAGTTAATTATAATTATAATGTCACCTATATTGGTAGATTGGAGGTTAAAAAATACATAAACATCACAGGGATGAGAAACTTGATTTTACAAATTATTGTGACATGATATCTTCCTATTCATAAAAACAGAGCTTGAAATATTGATGACTACATAGTGATCTATAAAAGACTAACAAGAAAACTGAAGGTTCCTTAAAATACATTTTGAAATCATACTCACGTAAGCACAACAGTGTGTCAGAAAACTCTGTCATTCTTGCAAAAATACTCACGAGTAAAATATTTCAAATCCTGTGAGGTTGTATGCAGCGTCGCTAAAAAAGTGTAGTAGTGCATAGCCCGAAGTCGTCTCAACCTCAGGAACCGTTTCATTTCCTCGGACCTCCGGTACAATAAGGCCACTGGGGACAAAAGCACAGAAAATACATTGTAGGATTTTACAGCCAATTCAAAGTTTACAACACTGACAATAAATGAAAAAGTGCAGACTCCTCACCTGAAGACAGCCACCAGAGGAGCGTATATAGAATCCCCATCATAGATATACATGTGGTCCCAACTACATTCTGTGGCAAAGTGGTTAAAACGCAACCGAAGGACTGCATTTGGACTGTAAAGGAAAAATAATAAAATAAGCACTGAAGCAAAGCATCAACATCAACAAAACGCCATCACGTAGTCAACAAATCAACTGTTTATTTTAACCTACTGCCTTATATGGAGGTATATGTGAAACTGTGTGTGATGCATTGGGAAGTTTGACATCTTTATGTTAAAATCAGGCTCTACATTACAGTGTAAAACAGATAAAGCAGAAATGTAGCTGTATACACGCTATTTCAATAATCTGAGAACCTCCAGAAATCAGATAATAATCCGATGTAACCATAGCCACAGCTTCAGCAGGTCAGTGGTCTCAAATAGCATTTTGGCTGAGGCTGTCCATTGGACTTTACCATACAGCAGTCTCTCCTGATACCTTTAGATAACCTAAGCCCCTGCAGTATCACATTTCAAACTGCCTCTTCTTTTTCTTAGATGTCAGCTCATCAACTTTGAGGTCAAAATATTCACCTGCAGACTTGTATTAATTATGGCAGCTTTACTAGATCATCTTAAGCACATCTATTGTGAATTTATTCAATAGCAATTTTTATGACTAGATATACTGCATTCTTATTTTGTGTGGGCTCTCCTCTCTACACATCTGACCACTAACTTGGCCTAGTGGCCAAACCAGCTTGTTTCCATGGACATATACATTTAATACCATACTCTGGAACAAGGCAAAACATAAATATCTCTAGCAAGTGGCACTCAACCAGGAAAGTTAACTAGTGCAACTTTAATTTTAGTAAACAACGGACATCATATCTTCCATCTCTTCCCATATGCAGATTTATAATAACAAATAAAAACACCAGTGTAAGATTGGAAATAGCTACACCAAAAAAGAATCTTTATATTATAGCTTTAGCCATCTACAACAAACAGAGATGTTATCAGTGTGATTTAATTACATGAATTCATTTATCCTGCTTGATTCAATTTGGCTACAGCTACAGCAGAACAGAATCATTTCAGAAATTACTTACTAGCCCTCGATAAGCCATGTGCATTTCGTTTTGTATTTGTAGTTGATTGGACCATCTGTGAGGTACCCTGAAGGCTCAGTCAACCTATAAAAAGAAGAGAGTGAAAGGAATGCCTTGAGAATCACATTTTAACACAGTACATTTTATAAAACAATGATGTAATGCAACTAGCGATAGATTTTTTCCCTCTTGGCTGTAAAAATGAAGCCACTAAACAAACAAATACCACAAAACCTTGCATTAAAAACGTTCCCATTTTACTGCTTCACAAAAGAATGAATAGCTATAAATATGAAGCCCCCAGTGAAAATGTGCTGATCGGGGTATATTTCCATATATATGTAAAATTATATTGGGCCTTTAGTTTCCTATTGATTTTCTTCTATTCCTTCAGGAAATAGCAGAGCAGTTAAGCAATGGTGACTTAAAGATGCACTAGGTAACATTTCTAGTGGAGGGTCCACCACCTACTTGCCTCCATGGAAATATTATCGCTTTGTCTAGAATGTCTACAGTATATAGATTAAACCTTAAATCTATGAAGAGGGAGACAAGCAGGTTACAGCACTACGCTTAGGGCTGGGTATCATTAAGAAGTTGTCGATACGATACATACCTCGATACATAGGTCATGATACGATATATTTCAAAATGATTCAATAGAGTTCTATAAAAATAAAGGCTAAATCATGGCTGTGATACTAAAAGTCTTTGTTGTAAAGTTCATATGAAACACAAACATTTTAATCCTCAAAACAGTGAAAATGTCAAATGTCTCACATAAATGAGTTTCCTTCCTCTAAACAAGCAACAAAACTGTAGCACTGTAACAAAATGATTTTGTAAAATATACCAAAAAATACTCTTGGTGATATATCGATACAGCAGACCGCGATATTAATACTGTATCATCACATTAAACGATACGATATATAGATATTTCGATATTTTTGCACACCCCTAACTACGCTACATTACAAGATCTGTGGAGAGTCGACCCTTTTCACAGAAGGAATGATTGTATTTTTGAGTAAAAGAAACACCTATAATGAATAAATGCTAGATGTATATGTTTAAAATCATATGTTAATGCTTTGCCTGGAACATTCAAAGAAAAACGTTAACAACATTTAAACAAGTAGATAGCGGACCTTCCAAGAGAAAAGTTGAGCAGTGCACCTTTAACTTAAACCTAGTTTTAATATTGGTTATTGGCCACAAAGTCATATATTGTAATGGCTGAAAAAATGTATACCATCTCTATCATATACCTCTCAGCTGGTAAAAAAATATGTAAGATTTTTTGGGGAATCTGGTAGGAGTTGTACCAAACATGATTGTTTTTTGTATTTTGAATTGCAGTCATTTGAATTTCAACTACACAGTACGTCAGGTAGTGTACAGGGTCATGGCCTTCCTGGACATGTCACTGAGATAATTGTTTACTCCTGCACTTGAGCCAATTACTATTGTAACACAACACTGTAGCTAAGCACCTTGTGAGCGCATTCAGCCTCTCCATGCAAAAAATTTGCAATATGCAAAAGTGTCAATTAGGCCTGCATAATAATTTAAATATGACTCAAGATCGAGATCCAGTTATTTGTAATTGTCTATGATATGCTTGGGGCTTTTAAATTGAGAGATCTGCAGCCTAACCTTTGTCAGTAAAAGCAGGCGGTTAAGAGCAAAGTTCAGAATCGGGTCTCCTCAAATTGATCGAGATCAATCAATACGAGAAAAAAAGGGATTAATTAAAAGTGATTGTCATATCACCTGGCACTATGTAATACAGTATTACTAGAAACAGGATGTTATGTGTGCTTCTAGATGAAGAAAATGACAACAATAAAAAGAGAATGCAGAGATTGTGGTGAAGCTGTTCAGACAGAACATTTGTAGTAATTTCTGTCAATTGCTTTGTCTTAGGAAATGGCTGATTACATTTACTACTATAGCGTAACCTGATACACTCAATTGAGGGAGAAAATCTGTAATAAATGACCCTAAAACTACAGTATATTTATCCTTTAATTTTTAGTTATTACTAAAATGTATGAACTTGCATGTTATTACTTACAAAATTACGACTACAAACAGCATAGTATGTGTACAAATTGCTTGCTACCAGACAGAAAATGATAACAAAAACAGAATACAGAGAAGGTGGTAAAGCTGTACATTTGTAGTCATTTCTGTCAATTATTACTTCTTAATTAATGTTTAATATGGGGCCTTTATTTGCATCAGTTAAAACTAAAAACTGAAATTTTAAAGCTTCAAGCAAAAATACCATAGTAAGATGTTTCCTCAGTGGCAGAGCCAGATCTCCTCAAATCATTTATTTAAAGTTAATGAATGAATTGAGGCTGTGTGCAGTGTTTGTTGATCTATGCGGATGAACATGTGCATATTTGAGAAGACAGTAAAATACCTGACATGTGCTAAAATAATAAATTCAGCATGCAATGTGATAATGAATGACAGGTCTTTTAATACAAAACTGGTTAAAATAACACCAGGTCCTATCAAGAAAAACAAAATCACTCAACCAGTCAAAAATGCTTAGTAGTATGCAAAAATTAAGCAAACAAATATTGTGTCTTCTGAATGATGTAAAATCCTAAAATTGTCACCTATAAAAGGAAAGTGAAACCAAGGCAAAATCAGACATAGGGATTACACTATAGGGCCATTGGAGTTTCACATTGTATTGACCACAATTATGCAAGTTATGTAAAAAGTAAAAAAAATAAATAATAAATAAATAAATAACAATAAAACTAAACTTTAGAGTCATTAAATGGTAAATTACTCACTTGAACCTTCCTTGGCAGTGCTGACACTGGTCCCCAACCCATCCTCTGTCACAGACGCACGATCCATTGATACACTTCCCAGAGAGACAGGTTTTGTCACAGGATTTCGCAGGAGATGCGTGTGTGAAAACGACAAAGTAAAACAAAACGTACACCACCAAGTATCTGTTGATGCTTCGACAGTCCGTTCTGGTGGTTAGTTTGGGTCCAAGAAATAAGGGAGTTCTCTTGCATATTCCCCCGGGGTCCATCTTTACCGAGGGAGAGAGAGCCCGAGGCCTTGCAGTCTGATTTGGGGAGAGCCTTGGCTACTCAGACTGTTTTAAAAAGAAGTCCTGCATATTCCTGGAGTGACGTGCATTCTTCGATATGAGCTCCACGAAGCCAACTTTAAACATAAAGCTTCAAGAAATGGCTAAAAAATCGTGATGAACCGAGTGCATAGATTTCTTGAGTGGGTGGAATCCCCTTCACCCCTACCTCTCACTGGAAGAACCATCAGAAAAATCAGAACATTGGTTGAAGCTGTTGTCTAGCTTGTCTTACTGGAAACTGTAAAACTGTAATAAATATATCGTTAGCATGCTTAGCTTTTTGCCCATTGGCGTTAGCTTGGTACTGTTACTGCATTGATTCAAGACCATTCTCCTCCAGAAAGCGTTACAGCAGCCATTTTATTCCGAAAACAATACTTAGAGCCGAAAGAGAGATGAGCATAAAAACATACGACGCTTTCGGGTCAAGCTGCCAGAGTTTCGCCGGATCTTGGAGGATGAAGAACAAAAGCCTGTCGGTGTTTGTAGCTCTGGATCCCGAGCGAAGCCTGGCGCAGTCAACATCGATGTGGTGAAATGTGGAGGCTATTCTTGCCGACTGGGGGTATTGGGCAAACACTTATAAGTTCACTTGTTGTGGCTAAAGTGCACCTACTGTAAGTGTGATCGATCAAACACACACATTTCTGACATCAGATTATGGCTGTGTTGTCTTTTATCCCACTGAAAACGGCGCTGTTGCTCTCGGATCATGACAAGAACTGGCAGCGATGGATTTGCTAGCGCAGCGACAGTTCAGCCGAGAGAAAACCAAACACACGGTGCGCATGCGCAATAGACACTGTCTATTTAAAGCAACCGCGTCAAAACATCAGGCAACTGTGTTTGCGGTATTTTTAATCCGATTGACACCAATATATCACAATATTATTATGAACACACATTTCAAATTATTCTGTTACATTTTTATGTTGAACACCCACTTTATATGAGAAGACATACAATTTTACAAAATAGGCCTGTAAAATATTTGTATTTTACACAGTGTAGATTTAAATCTGAATTTAAATGAATATTTTAATTTAGTTTTCGGAATATGGCCGCGTATGCTTTTTCATTTCAGGGGTTTTTATAGGCTTAATCCATAACGGACAAAGTTTGGACGGTCTGCCAAGAATGATCAAATTTACAAAATATAACAAGCATTGTAGCCTATAATCTTGTAACTCATGATGCACTCAATTTTGAAAAAGAAAAAAATAATACAATAAAATCTATGTAATAAATGACCCCCCAATTATAACTTCATTTTTACTCGTCAATAAAATGTATATTAACTTGCATATTCACCTCACGATGGCAGTGTTGCGCAGTAATTTACAAAGGTGAATCTTCACCGGAGGAGGTAAGGGTGGTTATAGTTTTTTTCATCCATTCATCAGACATATCTTTTCATTTTCTGATTTTCCCCTTTGAAATTGTTTTTATTTTGTTTTTGTCATAAATATTGTCAAATTGAGCAGATTTTCTAAATACATTGGGCTATAAGCTACAGTAACATATATTCACGAAAGGTTGGCTACAGCACAAAGTAATAAAAATTTTAGGATACTAGCTATGTCCTGTCTCCAATTTAGCCCAAGCCTACCATACAGCCATGCAATCAGTGTTCAACGAAAGGATTGTGCAATTTTACTATGGTTTTCATGTTCCACAGAAGTCTAAAGTGTATTTGGCAGATTCATATATTTTTCTAATTATGATTTGGTTTGGTGGAATATTATGTGATGTAAAAATTCATCATAATTTTACATCAGTTAAGTGGCAGTTTAGAAAACAAAAGTTGGGGAAAAAATGCAATACCTCTACCATGACATCAATTCCAAAAAAAAAATTACACAGAAGGAAATAATTTTTCTGACTGTTTAACAAAATAAAGGTGCTGACATTTGTTTTTATTTGTCAGTTCATAAGTATTGTGTAATTTAGACAATTTCTTGCGATCTACACATATGCCATATGTGCTGCTCGTGTCCAACCCTGAAGTAAAATAATACATTTCACCAAAATTACAAAACTTGAAAAAAATGTTCAAGATGTTCAGTAAAGTCTTAAATATAATCATGTTAACTGTGTTTTAGATAAATTAGTACTTACTTAGTTAAATTAGTCCAACCTGTCCACATGCACTTAAAGTACCATTTAATTCAATAGGGTACCTCTTCTATCAGTCTATACATTCAATTTTTAATATCCAAGGGGCAGTTTATTTTCAAAGCCTGAACCTGAATTTGATGCGAGCTGCAAACATAACAGCACCTTGACTTAACCCCCTCTGTTCAGGGCCGCAAAGGAGCACACTAGTTTGGTCAGGTGCATAAAAGTTGGAAAATAAGTCTGGTTTTGAGTGTCTGGAGCCAGTGCCCTCTGCATTCTCAGTCTCCTTAAAACAACAGGGAGGAACTTCTAAGACACTACTGCAAGCTGCATGGGCTCAATTTTCTCTGGAAACTCCCAGATGTAACAGTATCAGACAAACCATGAGGTCTTAAAGGTGTAAAGTGTAACTTTTTACTGGTAGAGGGTCTGTCAAATCTCCATGGAGATGTTATTGCTTTGTCTGGAATGTTTCACAGTATGGTATCAAACCTTTCTCTCTGGACCTAACCAGGTCAAGTTACAGGTCAGATCTATGGAGAGGCAACCCCACTCACAGTCACAATGCCTGTTTTTCAAGGTATTTTTGAACAATAAAAACACATGTAATTGAATAAGGTAGAGTTTAATGTCATACTGTGGAACATTCAAGGCAGAGCATCAAACAGGTGATGGACCCCAAACCAAAAAGTTACACAGTGCACCTTTAAGTAGAGAACAACAAAAATACTGATCAGAGGTTGTGTTGCTCTATAGGTGTTGGTGCATTCACAGTTCAAGCTTCTCAATGAAAGGTTGAGTGCTAATTAGAAGTGGAGTCAGTGACCTTTGACCCTTGAACCATGTCTGAGGAATGCTCTTTTGGGAGCATTTAGCAACAGCAAGAAGTATCACCCACAAATGTGTATGTGTTTTCATCTTATTATCATATATGTTTAGGTTATTAACAGTATTTTGAAGGCTATATGGCACTATTTAAAATTCACATTAGAATTAATGGCTCTGGCTTGTAATGTTGTTTTGTCTTTCACCTCAGTAATAAAATAATCTTGCAATGGCCTACATTAAGACAAAGAGTAGCATCAGGGTTTCATATGACATCACAACATTCTAAGGGCCAATAATATTTAATACAGAAGGTAGGCAGCTAAAGCTAATATTGTCAAAAAAAAAAGATTTGTTTTGTAATACAGAGCGTTCTTGGGTCTAATCACTAACAGAAATGACCAGGTTTAACATTTGTGAATTTACCTTGTGGATATTTCATGCCACAATGTAATCTATGGGGAAAACTGGCTCTTGCCCCATCTGGGAGTAAGACATTATCACACTCTTGAATCTGAAAACCACTAATACACAATTGCAAAGTAATGAACCTAAAACTGCATTTTGGCTACATGATATGCTATTTACAGCCACTTACAATCAGTATTACACAAAATTATGTAGTTGTAAAGTAATTAGACCTATAGTAGCAGTGTGGGAACAGTTTCTGTAGTAGGCTAAATAAAAATCTATGTCTTTCCAGGCACTACTAACCCAAATTCCAAGTTCTTGTAATATTGTAAAAACCTCCATACCTCGAGGGCTCCCACAGGTCTAGTGCACAAAAGGAATTTCCCCCAGACTAGATTAACAAAACTTCTGCTGCAGACAGAGAAAGCACAAGAAAGAAGTGGGTCCAGACCACCCTGGGTAACAGTGAATACTGAGTGCTCATGCCTGACTCACATTCACAATTTCACTATTCACTCAAGACTAAATGATGTTTACAAAAAGTGGGCATGACATCACTCTTTGACCTTTTGGTGACCTGTTGCAAAGACGGTTTAGGAACAGTAACATAAAAGGCATGAGCCACCTGCTAAGCACCACCTGCTGTTTCAAAGCACTGACAGTTTCAGACTTCATAAACACAACACTAAAAAAAACAATGAACATAGATTGAAGTTAGTTAAGTATGGCTTGAGAAAAATGTCCCAAAGTATGACCTACTCCTACTCCTGCTATTACTCCTAACACTATTACTCCTGCTACTACTACTACTGCTACTACTACTACTACTGCTAATACTAATACTAATACTAATACTAATACTAATACTAATACGTATTTCTGCTTGCTTCATATACTTTATTCAATAGGTCATGGCCTTGCACTTCTTTTCAAAACTTTTAACTCCACCTTTTACACATATAGGTTAGTTGACTGCTTTTAGATGAAACTTTGATTCCTCTGCTTTTCTACAATTGGCAAAGATGAGTACATACCATAAAAACGCCAAAAGCCCCCTCCCTTCCTGTCTGGAGTACGGAGCTTATAGAAAGTATATCATTAACAGCATCATGACATCACTGGTGACTATGGCCTAGTCTCTGAGCTTTATTTGCTGTGGCTTGTACTGGGTGGGACTTCATTCTGCTGTTTTTGCAACTTAAACCACTAAGCACTTGGCCCTCGACTGTTTCAACACATTATCGCCTGCACTGCCTTATTGTTGGGACTACAGAAAGCTATAGCGTCGAAAAAGTCAGTTTGTCCTTGTGTGTTTTAATCATCTCGTGGAGTATGTTGTGTTACTCTGCATTCCTCTCATACCTCCACACGGTCGTGATTCTCCCACAGGAGGGGGGCAAGTGTTTATTTAGGCGGAGAAATTCACTTTTTGAGGGGGGCTTTCCAAAAAAAAAAAATCACATCTGGTAAAATGCATTTGATCAGAACAGACATTTTGTGTTGGGAGGTAAAGGGAAGAAGATGAGCAACTCAAATAAAATATGCTCTGTGTGAGACAATGGGCTGTAAAACCTGGAGTGTCAACAGAAAGAGATTTACTTTTTAAGAATTTATAAAACCAGAGTACAGTGTTTTACTTTTTCCTTTGCATCCCACATGTAGTTGCAGTAAAGTAATTCCTTTTGGTGGCAAATATTGTTGTATTATTATTGAAACATACATTTTATTAATTACATTTTCTTGTGTTTGATTAAAGATTTAATAATTGATGACATTTGTTTCTGGCACTGTTAACAAATGTCAGCAATGATTCACACATGTGTCTAGATGTACAGAAGAGACAGGAAAACATAAAGATTTATAGCTGCAGTATTACTATTAGTTGTAGTCGCAGCCTATTGTTATTTGTTATTATTTGTTTATCCTCATGGCATCTACGTCTCAAGTTTAAACCACGGCAGCTTTATGTGTCTCATCTAGTTGCTTTTTGGATGCTGCAGCCTCAAATAGGAGGGACAGCCGGACGAGTCACAGGAGAGCGCTGCTGTTGCGCCAAACCCGTCTCCCACTGTACGTCGCTGTCCTGCCCTCAGTCACACAGACACAGACAGCCAGACAGTCAGTGAGTTGGAGTTGGAAATAAACGGGAGCGTCCGGTGATCACAGACAACACGGCCCGCATCTCTGTCCTGACGGAAACTTGTTGACGTCTGGCTAACTTTTACGCACAGTTTTGAGTTTATGAGAAGCGAAACGCGGGAGTGACACCGCCGTGGAATGGAGAAGCACAAAGGTAAGACCATTATTTTTTGAAAAGTTTTACGATTTTATAAAAATGTACATCACTTGTCCCCACTTCAGCGTTCACAATCTAAGGGAATCGTGCAATGACCCGTGCGTAAAAATGTAAATTGTGCTACTTGACTTATCTGTGGAGTATCTCGCATGCTCGCACCTGTTTCAAAACAATACACTAAGCGAGAGAGAAAAGTAGACTAGTGCAATTACTTCGGCATCTTTAAGGTGATCAAAGTGAACAAAAAATACCACAGTAATCCCTGTACAACGTTTGAAAGTATTTGATGAAAGATACAGAAAAAAGCGGATGTTTGGGGTTTTGCTGTCTATCCGGATTTGAGCCCAGTTCCAAGGCTGTACTTACAGTAAACAATTGACCACATCTTTCAACAGTATTTAAAGTTTAGTCATATTATTTGTTCTTGTTTGAGATTACGGATTGCATAGTGGTTGGTGACGAGTTTCAATAGCTGCAACATTGTTCCCATGGGCATTCTTCAAATTCCTGTGGTTATTTGTCCATGTAGGATGCGCAAGGCCATTTAATACATCCTGATTGACACAAACACAGACTGCAGGCCAAAGATACAAAACAAAGTCAAACTATCTGGACGTCAACAGGTAAATACGTGCCGCTTATTGTCTCGGCATCCCTGAGTGGGACCATAATGAGGTCAGGTAGTGATGGGTCAGCTGTCCTTTAACCTGTGCACTGCTTCCAGCCAAATGAGCGCCCCCTGTGGCTTTATGGAGGCGGGTTGGGCAGAGGCAGGATGTAGAAATTTTGGTTAAAAACTTGTTGAATGGGGTTGTTGTTAGTGCATACAACTATTTTGAAATAGCCTACGTATGTACTTAATAGATCTTTCACAATGCTACTTTATTCAAATTGAGGTTAAACAAAGATATATTTTGGACCTCACCCTAGTCTAAATGTTATTGATTGTGAAGATTGGCAGCCACATCACTGTCAGGTAGCCTCAAGGCAGCCATAGATATGTTCAGCCTACCTTCAGCAAGTATTTTAAGTGGTTTTGTAATGCAATATAATGTGACTTTGAATTTTGAAAAAGTTGCTAGGATTGTTGTTACGATAAGCAACAAAAACATCTACAACAAACAAGTATAATGTGTTTAATATTACACATTTTACAGTATTTAACACATATGACCCTATTTCACATTCACACGTTTGTAATCCCTTTATTAAATTCAAACCAAAAACATATTGAAGACACCAGGATACTCTCCCCTGTAAAAATCATTATCACAAATACATCCTTCAACTATGCAATAACTCTACAAATGACAAATTAGTACATTATTGTCATGTACACCTCTTAACACCGTTGCACAAGGTTACCTTCTTGTTAACCGCATTGGCCTACATTCATGTGTTTCTTATCTACTGTTGCGTGGCTGTTAAAGAGTGAGAAATGACTGGGAGAAGACAGCAAACATGTGGCTTTAACTCAATGGGAGGAAATACACAAGCTGACAGTGATGCAAGGCAGTCGGCTGGTCCACCCTTTCTACAGTGACGGCACAACTATTGGAGCAATGCTGGGAGAGTCCTTTGGCAGCTGTGCATATCGAGAACAGGTCACATTAAATCAGATAGTAATAGCTTCAGGCATGTATCTGGAAGGGGGACCTGGGAAGAATCAGGGAAGCCAATGACAAAGCGATGCATTGTTTGATATTGCTTGAGTGCAGAAGCTGGTTTCACTGCAGAGGGGATCCATGTCACATTCTCACCAGTGATGACGAGCTGCGGATAAGCGAAACCACCTGGAGCAGTGTTTTTATTGCGAGACCTTTGCTGGTTGGTCCATGGCTCAAGTTTAGGAAGTTACTGTTGAGACTTGTCTAGAATTAAAGAGTTAAGTGTTCAGTTTTAAGTCAATTACACAGGCTTGTGGTCACTAATCTTGTGATGTATTTATTGCGCAATTGGAAGTAAATGGGCATAGAGATGGGCAATATTATCACTTGTATATATCACTTTACTCTTTGCTGTAAGTTTGTTTTTATGTTTTCTTAGAGACCACTTTTAAATGATCATAAGCTTATCTCCAGAGAATGCTGTGACTGTACTAAAAGCTTTGGGTAGGTGGGGAAAATCCTGAAAAAGAAATGTGGTTGGAAAAGGGTACTTTTGTGCATTGTCTCAAAGCTTGTGTTGATAGTAATCTTTTAAACATTTCTATTTCCTTGGCAGTGCGGGCTTCTGTTGAATCCTTAAGCAAGACACTTTACCCACTTTGCTTAGGACCAATGTGGTGTGTCCATGAGTGGTCAGAGGGGCAGATGGCGCAGATTGGCAGCCTGGTCTTTGTTAGTCTACCCAGAGCAGCGTACATTATAAAGCATCTTTGAATATCCAAAAAGCATTCTAAGAACACACAAAATGCATACATACATTTCTATTTACCATTCAAATCCGTTCTCTTAAAAAATAAACCTAAAATTATTGTTCTAACCTATCCTTTTGTTGTTTATTATTGCTCGTCTTCTCTATTGCCGGTCAGTGGATTATACTTCAGTCTTTGCTCTTGTTTTTCTCTGTGATCCTGGATTTCAATGTGGACCAAAATGTGCCTTGATCATCACATTGGCTTCAGGTTCAATGCAGCTGTGTTTTCACAAAGACGCTGTAATCCAGAGTGATGGTTTTAGTTACAGTTCTTCATTTGATGCTTTGACACTCCAACCAGAATCTGCAGAATACAATCATAAATTAATTTGACTTACTTTTTCTACACAATGAAAGGTTAGAAACAAATCAGTTGAAAGTATTCTGAACTTCAAAGTCATCAGTATTAATAGTGGTATAAGTAGCAAATGCTAGTGGTGCTTGTAATGGTCTTGTAATCAGACTTAAGTGCTTTCTTAGTGATTTGGGATTGGAGGTTTAGCTACTGTTATCATAAACGCTTTTAAACTTTAAATATCTGCTGGTATAATTTAGCCACTTAAAGGTGCACTGTGTAACCTTTCTGGTGGCGGGTCCAGTACCTTCTTGTCTCCATGAAGATGTTATCACTTTCCTTGGAATGCTCGCATTTATTCTTTACGGGTGTTTCTATTGCTCAAAAACACATTCCTTCTGAGAAAGCGGCAGCTCTCCACAGATTTTAATTATAATGTAGTATTGTGCTCTAACCAGTTTGTCTCCCTTGTTATAGATAGGTTTACTCTATACTACAGAACAGAGGTTCTGAACAGAGGTTGGACTCGAGTCAGACTTGAGTCACTATTTTTAGGTCTTGAGACTTGACTTGACAAAATGACTTGGGACTCGACTTGGACTTGAAGATCAATGAATTGGGACTTGACTCAGAATTGAGTGACTTGAGACTTGAGAAGACTTGAGAAGAACTTTTAAATCAGAATTAGTTTTATTCTGACCATAATGATTCACAGTAAGATCTTGTCAAAACATTTAAAAATTTGCATTTCTACAACTCCAATATACTCTATAAATATTCATAAATAATTACTAAGTACAATTTATCTTAAAAATCATATAAATTGTAAAAATCTAAGATATATTTGGTACTTTGGCTTAAAGACTTGAAATGACTTGAAGCTCAAAGCAGACGACTTGGACTTGACTTGGACTTATAAGCCAGTGACTCGAAACTCAACTTGGACTTGCCTATATTTGACTTGGGACTTGACTCAGACTTGAGGTCAAAAACTTGAGACTTACTTGAGACTTGCAAAACAATGACTCTGCTACAGAACATTCTAGACAAAGCAATAACATTTACATGGAGACAAGCAGGTGGGCACCCTCCACTAGAAATGTTACGCAGTGCACCTTTAAATAGCAAATTCATTAACCGTTAATAAGTTAATAAGTCACCCCTGAGAGAAATCTTAAAAGCTTTTCCGGCGTTGCATCATGATTAATACCATACAACCGCCTGTATGTGGAACAGAGGTGATTCTCAGTCTCAGTACCGTTTGACAATGTGGGTTTTGTGGCTTGGACCTCCCCACAGCGGTCCTGAGGCAGTCTGAGATGTAGGCCATGGCGACTGGCATGAGGTCTGCCGCTCCCAGCCTGTGTCATGGTATGTACTTATCCACAGGGAGCCGCCGCACAGAGGGTAATTCAGGAAGCTGGGCCCAGCTATAAAAATGATGAAAAGAAAGTCGGCCTTCCTGACAGGAGACTCCAAGTTTGCCCCTTTTGCCCCTCTAGGCTTTGGGGCAAGTTCAATTTCAACACATCAAAAGTGCTACTTAATTTTATGGGTTACAGGAGTTTGGATCGGAGCTGGACTGTAACTTGTGTTAGCAGGAAAACACTAAGCCCATACACTTGTAATGGATTTGTAGTATCTGTGCTTTTTATGTGAGGACTTCAAGGCACTCTTCCTACTGAGTTTTTATGCCAGCAGATACTCGTAATGTCTTCCCTGGTTTCTCTCATCAAGACACTTACAGTAGTGTGGTACAACAATTACAAGATTAACTACTTTAACCCTTTGTATGAAATTACAATGAGAGTTGACTTCTTTATTTTCATAGCATGTTTGCAAATCAACTGACTTTAAAGATGTACTATTCCTCACAAATCCAAACTGATGGAGGGTCCGTCACCTGCTTGTCACCATGGAGATGTTATTGTTTTGCTTGGAATGTTCCACAATACAGACATTTAAGTGTTATCTCCATGCAGACAAGCTAGTGACACCCACAGATCAAGTTACAAGTCAGATCTGTGCAAAGGCAAGCAAGAATGCATATTTTTCAAGGGATTTTTGAGCTACAAAAACACCTATAATTGAAAAATGCAAGACTGAATATACCAGGCAAACCACAAAAAATACATATTGCACCTTTAACTCCTTAGTGCACCTGCAGAAACCAAAACTATAATGGTATTTTTTTCATTGCTGTAAAATAGGGTGACTGCCTCAGTAATGCTGCAGCTCAAACATAAATTCGTTTTAGAGTTGTGAGTTGTTGTAAAAAAGATAT